CAGAAGGAGCAGGAAACCATTCACTTTAGAGACTACACTTTGGATGGCGTGCTAAACAACAACAGAAATGGCAACTGTTAGGGAGTTGCTGAGTGCAGTCTGAGGTCTGAGGCCTTGTGACCTGCTGAGGTGTTTTAGGGAAGCCAGAAGCATAGGGGAAATGTTCTCCGAACATTGTCTGCAGTTGCTGGCTCTGACTGCTCTTACTCAGCAGACATCAGGCCTGCTGCCAGCTTTAAAGGGTGATAAACAACACCATGATGGCAACAAGTTTGTGACCTGCTTTAGTTGTGTGATTAGTGTGATAAGGCACATTAGAGATTTAAAGATAGCAAGGAGAGGTAAAGCTGTTTATAAGTAATCCCATACTGTAGAGTGGGCTTTTCTGTAGGTCCAACATGGCAACAGACTCTTAATTTGAAGAGTGCACGCAGAGGCTATATTTCTTTGATACGTATTCATAATCCTAAATCTTTATTCAACGCTCGGGGTCAGGGAGCTTATTTGTAAACCTTTATGAACGTCTGGGCTCTTCAGCAGCAAAATATTGAGTTGAGCAGCTACTACATGGAAAAGAGCTAATGACCATTGCTCCCTTTTTTAAAATAAGAATCATAATGCTAAAGATGCTTCAGTGCCTTAAGGTGCTGGATAGGAACTGCTGAGCCCTTTTTAGCGGCTTCTTCCCTACATAAAGAAGAAAACAAGTTCAGACGGAAGTTCAAGGTCAGAGTAACCTGATTATCAGGACATACCTACAAGAAAGGACTCCTCTGCAAAAAAAAAATAGACATTCACCTTCATCGTGCTAGTACCGACCTGGTGAAGCAGCGTATTACTCGCATCACCTTTGCAAGTGAGCTGCTCTTCAGTGTGTCCACACAGAAGCACAACCAACACCTAGAAATATATATACAGCACCTAACAATGTAAACAATATCTGAAATTCTCTAGTGCTGACTATTTTGTGCCCATTGTTGAGTGTCATAATTTGGTGGAAAATAACGGTGCTGACTGTACAGTATATATTAATTGCACCCATAGACAGTTTTCGTGCATGACAATATTTTGCACTTAATTGCAAATCTCCCATTATTGCGGTGACTTATTTGTCCAAGGTAACCATTCTCAAGTGTTCACCTGTAAAAGAAAACGCAATCTGAATGTGATTTATGGTTTCAGCTGTGTTTAGAAAGAGCCTGAGATGTTTGATTAATGCACTGTGAATTGACAGGGATCTGTTTTGACGTGTCTTGCTGCTTTTCAGTCATTTCCTAGCATGTTGTACAGTGAGTACACATACAGTGGCTAGATGAAGAGCTGTTTAAAGGTCCCAGAGCACTTACTCAGCAAGATGTTTCTGTCTCTTCCCTTGTTTTCATGTGTTATGAAAAGGTGAGCCTTCTTCAGTTGCCAGAGCTATCTAATCATACACCCATTGCCCTCCAGACTGCCAATCACAACATTCTGTAGAATTCTTACAGGATGTTTTTCTTTTTCTTATTTTTTATTGTAGTTGCTTTCTGAATTCAAATCTGGTGAGATGTGGGCATTGTTCTTAATGCCCCCTCTGCTGGTGGGAGTTTTTTCTACTGAGCTGGGCTTCATTCTCTTCTTCTTAGGATATTATTTGTTACGTAGGAACATCCAAGAAACAAAGACCTTCCACTTTCATAACCTTATCGTTTAGATCATGCATGGCATGTCATATTACAGAGCCCTACACTGCTTATTTTTGCTCAAGATCAGATGCTTCTCTGAAGATATCGGCATTTATTTCTTTTTCCCGGGATTTGTGTTGGTTTGTTTCACCTTTCTCTCTAAAGGTTTATAATGGAATGTACTTCTATGAAGTTGTTCCTGTTTTATAAGGCCCCATCATTAAAAAATAAAAACTAATGAACTGTGTGCTTAGACACAATCAATTTGCAGACTGATCTTGTTCATGTATTATAAACAAAGCATGTCGTTTTATTTTCTATTTAGTTTCCTCTTTATCTTTATGGACTATTCCTCTGTTAAGCCTTTGAACAGAATATTGTTGTGTGCAGACTGGGTTTTAAAACATTAGAATGAGAAACCCTCAGATATTTTAAAGAAAAAAGATGATACCTTGGGCCATTCTGCAATTAATGTTTGCATTACATAACAAATAATAACTGTTTTTCTTTACTGTAGTTTAGTTTTCCACTGTGTGCTGCGAGCCTGAAAGGAAATAGTGTTAAAAATGGTTTTGCCAGTATTTCTAACTATTAGGAGACTGAGAGCAAAGTAATCATTCCTAGAAACTGCAATAATCCTCCGGAAGACATTTTTTAAAAAATGTTAGTCTTGGCTAAATTAGAGTTCCACTTGCAAGTAAAACATGCCGTAGATTTTTTTCAGTCTGTGAAGGGCAAAATTTGTGCTTCATTATTTCATTCAAATACACACCCAGTCTGTACCTATTAGTCTGTTTCCTTTTCAGTCATGTCCACTGTCAGACATTCTTAACAATTTGCCCTAAAGTACAGTATAAGGTCTTTTCAAAGAAAAAATGTCACATTTGAGTTATGAACAAGAGCAGTACATCATAAATGTATCTGTCTTCAACACAATTTGAAGATGTTTTCAGCCCTAATGGGAAAAAAAGTCACGTATATACAGGTAACATATTTCTGGTATGTTTTATGTTTTAAGTTCCATGAGTAGTATTGCCATTTCTCACATAGTACTTCAGGTCATGCTGCATTCCAAATAGAAACATTGCAATGTATACTTGACAACAATTCCTTTCAGGAAAATGGAAGAAATTATGCTTTAGTTTAATTATTCTACAAGAATTATCTTGGAAAGCTTTGTCTCTGCTTTTGTGCCTGATGGTTAAGACTAATGGTTAAGTCCTTAAAAAGCATCCAGTGTGTCTAACAAAGGTCTTTGCAGAGCGACCTGGTCCCCAGTTTCAGAATTTCTCTCTCTCCTTTCTGAGAAAAGATGTCTTCCATCCCTTTTTCTTTACTAGGTTCCATATGACTTACTATTTCACCGCCAAATGAGCGAATTTATTAGCCTTTACAGAAGTGTGTTTCTCGTCATCCCACTCATCTTGTGATGTTAATCAGCTCTGCCCTTAAGAGCAATATATGTTCCGTTTCCACTAACAGTGTTAAACGTTTGCACTGGTGCTGTATACCATCTTCTCTTTGATTTTTTTCCAGTTATCTGCAAGATAAAGATCAGTTTGTGCATGCTTTATGAAATGTACAGCTTTGGGCAAAGGAGAGCATGATCATAAGAAATATGCTTTAGTATCCTTGCGGAACAGTTTATAGGCTATGAAGAATTAGTTGTTTGCAAGTTAGGGTCAGTTCTATGTGCAACTGCAGTGTGGTTTTCAGTTGTATCAGTGTTTCTCAGTCCCTTTATTGTCTGTTACACAGGACTGTTGTAAAGTTCATAATAAATGCAATCACTTCTGAATGAAATAACCATGAGTTCCAAATATTGAAGTTTTTTTTTTGTTTGAGAAATCTTACACCAGCTAAAATGTTTTGGTTTTTTTTGGTAATGCTTTGTCTGTAGTGTTTATTGCATTTTCACACTCGACCATGACATTCCGCAGTACAGCGTGTTGGAAGAAAAGCTGGGAATACACTCAAATAGCCTAGAGTTGGCTGTTGTGGTACAAGTGCTTTCAAACAACAGCTTATATGTTGTTTTCTTCTGAAATTGGGGAAAAAAATCTGGGAATATGCTAGATTGGTTGTTGGTGTTGCTGTAATCTGTGAACATTGTCTTTTGGTGTAGAGTTTGCACCTAGTCCTGTTTTATGACGCTGCTATTTTCAATCCTTGGCTTGGAGAACTCATCGGCTTCTTTCAGAGCTTATTCTTTACCACACTGCTTATTTTAGACAGAAAAAAAAATGCCTCCTTGTGCTCAAAATAATGCTATTGCATTATTTTCATCTGCTTTACTGATGGATTTGCCTATTGTTTGCTTTTCCTCAAGGAGATGAAATCTGACAAAGAAATCTAATACATCTCCAGCAGGAAAGTCAGCTTGTTCTGTAGGATTATCCTTCAGGACACCTACAGTAAAATCATATTTTATTGGTCTTTCTCTTCATAGGAAAAATGGACATTCCCACATATTTATTCCATGTTGGCATCATGCTTTGCAAAATCCATAGTAAGTAACTGAATAGTTAGTAAGAGTAAACCAGTTCTCTTTATTTCAGTATTACTTAATAATACTTTTAACGGTGCAGATCAGTCAGGTCTGTGAGGGACAGAAAAGCACATGGCATTTTCCACTGGTAAAGTAATTCCCTCACGTTTTTCTGGGAGTACATAGGTTTTGGACTAGGTAAGTGAACCATGACATAAACACAAGCATAACAGTAAATGAAACTGCTTTTAATGAGACCTTTTAAATCATTTTTAGATGATTCATGTACAGTGATGGCTATTTTCCTGTGCAGTTGTTTCGTTAATTGTTTACTGGCAAGACGAGTTTGAGAAAATAACTCCAGACTTAAATCATTTTTTTATAAATGCATTGTGTGGTCTTGCGGGCTTTGTTACAAAATAAACAATCGAGCAAGACATGTATCTGAACGATTTTGTAAACATCTGTTTCGTTGTTCCGTGCTCCAAGACGCTTTCTGGCCATCTGAAAAAGATTTTCTCGTGTGCCCATCTGAGTAATGTGAAAGGAACCTGTCATTCTTTCCTTTGAAATGAACAAAATTCTCACAAATGCACAGCTGAGCTACCAGGGTTTTATTCTCAGGGCGGCACAATCAAGTGTTTTTCAAAAAGCAAACATGATTATTAAAACTGTGATATATGATTGTGGGCTTACTTATACATGACTCTAAGCATGCATCTGAACTGTCCGGAATAAGGAAAGAAACATGCACTTTAGATCTGTGTCATTTTGTAACATACCCCATGTCAGAAGGAATTGAGTTTTGGTTTTTCAGTAACATCATCTAAAATCCTTTTTTCTTTTTTCAGCAGATCCTTCAAAGGAACACACCATCCCAGTTGCTGGCCTAAACTAGCCTTTGGTTTCTAAAGGAATACAGCCTTTCCTGTGGTCAGCCATTCTCCAAGTGCCATCCACTGCTTCTGACGCACAAATGCTGTTTCTCACTCCCCACGTTCCTGTGGACCTGTGATAATGATCACTCCTTGATGCTGGGCGTTGCTGCGGTTGCTGCCTATCAAAGCAGTCCTTTTTAATTCATCCTCTTGTAGCACAGATGCATTACTGATGACAATGTAATAGAGACGGGGTGGTGAATTGCAGCTTGCCAAGGTGCCTGCATGCCCTTGGAAGGATATGAGTGATCCGAGCCCGAAAAAAGGAGACAAAGCTAATCCGCTCAGAGCAGCAGGGGGGTGCAAGGACTCCTCGAAAAGTATGCAGTCGGATGACCTGTTTGCTAGGAAGTTTAAAGCCTTGAATGGGAGCATGGGACCTCCGTCGGCACAAGGGAAACTTGACAAGGCTAACGGGACACCGGCCATGCCTAAGATGGGAGTTCGAGCACGAGTGTCGGAGTGGCCCCCCAAGAAGGAAGGCTGGGACGGCCGGCTACCCCCAAACTACGAGAGCATTATGATGGGGTTCCAGAATGGACAGCCAGACCAAAGCTTGGAAGCCATCAGCGAACGAAGCAGGGAGGCTTCCGTGGACTTGGAGTTCGCCGAGACCAAATACTCCTTGAGCGACTTTCTAAGCCGATCCCCTCCTAAGGGGCTGCACCCGATCCGGCAGCGGAGCAACAGTGACGTGACGATCAGCGACATCGACGCCGAGGATATTCTGGATCAGAACGCAGTGAACCCCAACACTGGCGCCTCTCTCCACCGCGAGTATGGCAGCACGTCCTCCATCGACCGGCAAGGTTTGTCTGGGGAGAGCTTTTTCGCCATGCTGAGGGGCTACCGGGTCGACACTCTGGACCACCGCAGCATGCCCCCGCTGGGCTTTCCCGAACTGCTTCGCTACGAGACCTCGCTGTCCCCCAGCCTTCAGACGGCAGCGCAGATCGCCAGGGGGGAGATCGTCAGGATCTCGGGGTTCGACTACGTGGACAGCTCGCTGCTGTACAGCCGGGAGAGGGAGAAGTCGTTCAAGCGGCGGTTGAAAACGGAAACGACGGAGACCTCTCTGTTCCGGAAGCTGAGAACCATCAGAAGCGAGCACGACGGGCTGAGGTTCTCCGCGGAGCAGGACGACGGCAGGGCGGAGAAGTACGGCAAGCCGCCAAGCTTTCAGAAGTGCTTCGCTCACTACGACGTTCAGAGCATACTGTTCAACATCAGCGAGGCCGTGGCCAACAGGGCCAACCTGGGCAAAAGGAAGAACACAACCACGGGAGCCTCTGCGGCCTCACAGTACCAAGTGTCTGGGGGCGGGCCGGGGATGTGCGAGTCCCCGCTGGGAAGTCGGGAGGACCTCAACTCCAAAGAAAACTTGGATGCGGATGAAGGGGACGGGAAAAGCAACGCCATGGTCCTCAGCTGCCCGTACTTCCGCAATGAAATCGGGGGCGAAGGGGAGAGGAGGATCTCACTGTCGAGAGCCAATTCGGCTTCCTATAGCGCGGGGGAGAACTGCTCCTTTGAGTCCTCACTGAGCTCCCACTGCACCAACGCTGGGGTGTCCGTGCTAGAGGTGCCCAGAGAGAACCAGCCTATCCACAGGGAAAAGGTCAAGCGCTACATCATAGAGCACATCGATCTAGGAGCCTACTACTACCACAAATACTTCTATGGGAGAGGTAAGAAGTTTAGCTCTTCTGTGCATCTGTTCCAATTACAGGTTCATGTTGCAATTATTAAAACCTCAATTGTTTGCTGTCATGCATACCATTCTCTTAGCAAAGCATTCTGGATGTATCTACAGTAAGTGTAGTATAAAAGAATTTTGTTCATGTTTGATCTGTTTCAAAAACTGGGAACATCATGATAACTTATATCTCATGTACTGGAACAAAAGACCTCTAGATTCTTTATGCATCTTTCCGTTTCTCAGAGTTTTTTTGTGGTGAAGTGTGATCTGTGACATTTCCCTTTGCTGTACAGTATGATTTATCATGTGACAAATCTGGACAAGAATGAGATGTGGTTTGTTGGGTGGGCAGATCCCGAGTAACAAAACCCACAGGCAGTCATAACTATGCCAGCACTCTTTATTAAAGGTTAACGGAGCTGAGTTGCGTGTGACATGTTTTCAGCAAAAGTTGTTTCACTCTTCACAAAATTGGATGCCTGCTTAAAAATGTAGCTGTGGAGTTTGTTTGATAGTCTACTTCACATATTAATGAGTTAGTATTTGGGGAAAATAGTGTGCAGTGTTTAATTTGTGATTGATGGTTATTGTGAGCTGTGTTCCTCAAGACAAAAAACGTATTTGTTGCTTCAGCATTAGTACTATATAATCAATCAGTAGGTTTCAACCTCCAACATCAACATGTATTACAGGAAGACAAAGCAGTTTCTCCGGTGGGACAATTTATCTTTTACAAATTGGTGGAGCATCTTGGCTTGAGATAAGGAGCTCAGTAAACACCACAGAAATCCTGGACTCCGCTGTTTTTACAGTGCCTTTAATCTGTAGTCTTTTCTGTAGTACCACCCAAAAAAGTAACATATCCCGCTTCTTCCTGACATGTGTAAGAGAAATGCCAAAGGTGGTGTTTTTATTGAAGGGTCTGTCCTGAAGCAGAGGGGTTCATGCAATCCCCTTTCTTCCCAGTGCGATAAACCACAGCTCCTGTTTATTGCCGTTCTGCGGCACCAGGGGATTCTGCTGGAAAAGGGCCTAAATAATAGCAACTCTGCTGTCATCACCTCAGGAGCAGGTGCCTCTTGTCCTCTTGTTGTAATAGAAGGAGGCTTTTATCGCCTAGGGCCAAAGGTCCGATCGACCGTTCAGTGGCTTTCAGGTGGGTGAGCGTTTTGTAACTGTGGCAGTTTAAGAAAGAACAATGCTAGTAATGCCTTTAGGCGAGTGGAGGGCTTTTTGCATGGAATTGTTCCACCCCCCGCTAGGAGAATGTGATAATAATGAGACACGGCTCGAGGTGAGGTCAGCTGTAGATGGGAGCTTGACCCTGCGGTCCTGGGAGAAGATGGGGGGGGGGGGGGGGGGATGACAAAGCCCTGAAATTTGAGCCCCTGGAAAATCAGCCCGAGCTCTTGCACTTCTTTACTCTGTGCTGCCACAGCAGATGACGAAAGCCCATGAGTCACTCAGTTACTGCAAACATCATTTCTGTTTGAGCTCTGAGCTGTTTAACATCTAAGTGTACCTTTATTAAAATAAACATTTACCAGTTTTACTGTCAAATTGGTTCTCTTTCATCCTTGTGTTAGTGAAATTAGGAGAAAGGAGAAAATAAGCATACTGACTTATCTTCCTAAGACAGTCTTTAAGAGAATTTGTGCTCTGCCTATAGAAGCGAAAAGAATGAATTTAATCCCCTATTTAGATTAGTATTGGTATTTCTCGGAGCCCAGTTTTTCTGCCTGGCTTGCAGCCAGATATGTGCCTGTTTGTCTAAAGCACTGCTGAGTTTGCACTGTATTTTCACTAGAGGGTGAATGGCCATTCTGTAAGTCTCCAGTCTGGGACTGTAATGTGAAACAGGATTTGAACAGTTATCACATCTAGTTTTATCAGATATATTGAGAAACCTTGTGAACATTCTTCACTTGTGATGTAAATTTAGGAAAAGAGCTTAATCTGGAGGATTATTTGGTGAAAATCTTCTTTAGCAAACAACACACAAGCCAGCGGAACGTTTGTCTTTGAAGGGATTTTCTTCCAAATGTTTTTGTTACACGGAGCCTGTTGTTTTTTCTGCCTGCTGGTTTCACAGAATGTGTCTTTTCCTGCAAAGAACTGCTTAGGTTCACTGTTGCACTCATGCCTTCTCTTACAGAAGTCAGGGTAGCCCATATCTTTGGACAGAAGCCACAGCTGTACTGTTGGGGATAGTGGGTCCCACTGCTACTATGCTCATCAGATTTAACGTCCTTGACCAATAGATCAAATTTCTTCGCTCTCGGGTGGGTTTATTTATGCTTGGTGCAACGAGAAAGACAGAAAAATGAGGCAGTCCATGTGACTCTGCAAACATGTACATAACATACATTTGTCTATTGTTCTTTTGCTATGTTGTTGATAAATGCCCAAACCAAGATTTAATTAAAAACCTAAAGAACAAAACATAAAATTAGAAAGCTCTGTTGCTCCACAAATAGTTTCTCTCCAATTATTTGCAAAGTTATTGTATTTGTTTATATATGAGGAATTGGATTCTTTATCCTCCGGTGAATTCCATAGGCCCAGGTAATTGTTCTGTGTCTTTGTAAAGCTGATACAAAGACACAGATGGGGAGCAAATGGCTTCCTTCCCACCCTGCACTGTAATGAATATCACCATCTAATTAAGTCTGAATTGTTTCCACAAGTACATGCAATCTGTGGGCCTCTGGCAATCCTTTTGTCGCAGTGCACTTTGTTTAAATGTGTCACAAAAGGGGACAGGATGTGGAGTGACAGGGCCGACGAGGGGTTCACATTGAGACTCTGGCTGCATTGCTGACTGAGTGCCTCATCTGGATGGGGGGCACCAGTATCTGTGAGTAACACTTTTGGAGAGGATTCAAGCTGGGTCTTTTCCAACCCCGCTGGCTCTCTGCTGAGCCTCGTGCTCCTTTCAGAGACGGAAGCAGTTATAAATGTGCACAGCGATGTATCCTCGTTTTCCTTCACAACCTTAATTAGCCTCACCGCAAGACAGCAGACATGCTGCAGTTGTTGATGAGTGTGTTACTGTCAGTCACATTGAATGAGTGTTCCTTCGGCCCTGGCAGTAAATTGGCCCCTTCTTACTGTCAGAATCTCGGGCTCTATGATGTGTTTGGGCTTTCAGCATCTTATACCACATCCCCTGGCCTCCATGATCAGAAAGCATTTACTCAGACAGGGAACCATGCCCATGTGGCTGGGGTGTTGACATTTGTATGCAAACTCTGCTCGACAGCTTGCTTCATTCCACTCCAAGGTGGTGGTGATGATGTATTTGTTTAATCAAAACACACAAATAGGAACCTTTTGTCTCTTCTTCACTCAGAACTGTCTGTTTTACAATATAAAAAATGCTTTTTTTTTCATTTGTTTGGTGGAGTTTCCCCAAGGGCATGTCCAGTTTCCAGTTGAAATTCAGTGTGTAAGCATCTTTACTTTTTGAAGTTAAGGGCAAGACTGACGTGACTCTAAGAGGGGCTGTTTCCCAGAATCCAATGGTAAACATGACACAGTAGTCAAAGTCGTTACTGATCCAGTGGGGTTGCAGGGAGGGCTGCTGCTGAAGATAAAACAGCTGATGAGAGCTGGATTACAATACGTCACTTGTCATTCCGATTTAGCATCCATGCAATAGGGCTTCATGGAGACAGGTAGACATATCAAGGCAAAAACGTCACTTGCTTTATCATCAGGGCTGTCTTGAACATCTATTTTGTTTTCTTCTTTACTTCTGTGGGATGTTATGATGATCTCATGTGGCAGCAGCTTCCCTTTGTGTGAGATTTGTGGTCCAGATGTGGTTTGAAAATGAGGTGTCATGAAGAGTATCGGGAAGCTTGAAATCCAAGCCCTATAATAAAGCCAAACAAATTGCTCACTATTGACATTTTCAGCTTTTTTTGTTTGTTCTCTGGCTAAAGTTTGGCTTTAGTCCTACAGATTCTTCGTTTCACTGTTCTGTCATTTGTTCAACGAGTGATTATTTGGGTTTTTTAAACTGTAAAGACAGAAACAAGCACAGTGACAAAAGCAGTGATTCCCAGCAGTGTGACAGAATGAAAGGATAATTGAGATAACTGACCATTCAGCTTGAAAAGGCTGAGGAACAGATGCTTGTATTTGCACACATTTTCATTCACGCAGAGAAGTCAGCAAATCTAAGTCTTTGTCGAGAGTGGGTGGACTGGTGACCTTCTTTTAGGGCACAATCAGCTTCTGGTTTGAACAGATTTTCGGTGTCATTAATGCTATTAGTTAAAGCAAATTAATTGAATGTTTGGAACAATTGCTGACAGGCTGTGCAGTACAGCAACAGATTGTGAAACCTTTAATTGAATTCAGTGTTTGTCTTGGTGGAAATTCTTATTTGAGTTGAAGTAAGGAGAACCAAATTAAATTCAATGCATGAATTTTAAATAGACTGGCTCTGGGGAAAGCTTGTTTTGCGATTAAATATGTATACTTCATCGTGCATGTGGCTTCGCATCTTAGTTTACCAGACCAACGTTGGTAATTTCCTTACCTTATAATAATAAACTTTTTTTTAAGTATATAACTTACTACATGTACAATGGAATTCAATGCATAAGAGCATGCTTAACTCCTTAATAAATTAATCAGTTTATATCTGTCATAGGGTTAATCTGGCATTTACTTCATGTGAACAATCTGTGCATTTTAAACAAAAAAACAGTTATGCAAAAGCTCCAGAAATGTCATAAGATACACCTGACTTACTGTGTTTCTTCACCTCACAGAGCATCAGAACTATTTTGGCGTTGATGAAAACTTGGGCCCTGTGGCCGTGAGCATCCGAAGGGAGAAGCTGGAGGACGTTAAAGAGAAGGATGGCGCTCAGTATAACTACCGGATCGCTTTCAGGACCAGCGAGGTAATGAGCTATGGAATATCTTGCAGAAACACAGACGTGCAACAGCAATGTGGCATTTTAATTGCTGTTTAAAACACCTTTTTGAGCTACAAAATTTACTGTAATGACTGTATTTTTTGGCTGTTTATTTCTCATTCCTACATCTTACTTCTCTTTATTTTTTGTTACATTTTTAAGCCAGTTTAAAAATTAAAATAATTGTTCTGAAGGGGAAGACTTAAATCTGGCTTGTCAGCTCGTAGAAGAGTCCTGTTCTACTTCCCAGAAGTGAAATTTCTCTTGCACCCAGCTCGCACTGTGTCTTAATAGTCACAATGTTAACAATGAGTTTTGAAGGAATGCTCATTAATGAGCTCACCTTTCAATTAAATTACATTTAAATTATAATTTCATCAGGAAAGCCCTATTACAAAGCATGGTGGGTAATGTCTGAGTATCTCACCTGCTGAGTCTACACAATAAAACATTGAAAACTGTTTTCAAAATGTGGTTTGGATTGCAATTGAGTATTCACAACTTTACTAGGCTTGAGATTCAGAAACTGTCTGCCTTTTCAAACAGATCACCGTTCAAGCTGCAATTGCGAACTTGTTCACAGTCATGTATATTTAGGTCAACTCCCAGATAGCCTTCTGATGTAGGAGCAGCCAGTTTTTGAGGCTAGTCCAGAAAATAAATATGTCCGAAACCATTTTATTGCTCACAAGTAAATTAAGCTGTATTTAGTAGGTTGAGCATAATGGTTGAAATAACAACTCTCAAACAGCCAGTGGTTTAGTTAAATGTTTCAATATTGTCAAAATATAAGAGTGCAGTTTTGGAGAAAGAACTGTCTGCTTTATGTGCCAAGAGACAAGAAAACGTCAAAACTGAATGTGTGCCTGCTTGACAATGATATAATATACGCGCAAAGGGTCTGACAAGGTCTTCTGCTTTATGCTGCAAAAATATATGAAGGTTTATCTCCGAGTGTGTGGGTAGAAGGATGAATGACAGAAGTTTAACATCTTCCTGATCAATTATGGCTTTCATCTTGACATGGGTCTCCTGAGTACATGCAGCATTACAGAATGCCTGGGCCATTCTGAGACTGAGGCACTAGCTCTGCTACCAAAGATCTTTGATATTTCATCCTCCAGCTGTGTCCACACGTTGAGATGCTAAAGTTGTCTCGATGTTGCTCAGTTATTGATCCCACCTTGAGTTTGAAGAAAGTCCTGACAAAGTCACAGTGGAAGGTTGCCAGATGAGATCGGACAAGTGAACAAGGCGCAGTGGTTCCATGTCAATGACAGTGACGGGGACACAGAGAGACCTAATGATGCAGCTGGTAGTGTATTTCTCTGGAGAGTGAGCTGCTGAGCGCCTGCTTCTCAACAGGACTCACGCGGGATGCTGCTATAAATGGAAAGTTACATCCTGTTCAGTTAGTCTGTCTCAATTATTAATCTGGTGAACTAATGTTCCTCAGTGTGTCAGCTCTCCTTTTCCGTCTCACATCTTTTTAATTCCTAAACAGTTCCTGGTCGCCTTCCTCGAGCTCATAAATACAAGTTTTTATACAAGAAATACGGCAGGAAAAGTTATTTAGATTTACTTGACCTAGTATGATGATTAATGTATGTCTCTTTTATAAATGACAAAGTTTGGCTTCATCCCTCCAGCTTGGTGCGATGCTGTAAGTGTGTCGGTATGAATAACGGATGAGCTCTCGGTCCCTCGCCCTCACACGTGGTGTTCCTTCCAGCTCACCACCCTGAGAGGAGCGATCCTGGAGGACGCCGTGCCATCCACCGCCCGCCACGGCACCGCCAGGGGGCTGCCTCTGAAGGAGGTGCTGGAGTACGTGGTGCCGGAGCTGAATATCCAGTGCCTGAGGCTGGCCCTCAGCTCCCCGAAAGTACCCGAGCAGCTGCTGAAGCTGGACGAGCAGGGGGTAGGTTGGCCGCCGAACCCGCTGGGCCGGGCGTGGCGTGGGCTGTGCAAGCAGGGGATTGGCCATTGCAACCAACACAGGAGTCGGGCCAGATGTTTTGCAGTTGACGGGCAGGTGCTCGTCACATGTCTCACACAGAGGGGGGATGTCCCCACTTGACGGATTTGTGATGTTGGGGGGATGTGGGGTTTGGGGAATCAAAGTTTGGGGGAGACTGCCCATGGAACACATGACAAGATCTCTTCTTCTTTGCCTCTTGTAATGTTCAATGTAAGGCTTCAAAGTCAGATTGATGAACTCATTTCCCCCTATTTTACAGTTTATGTTCAAATTTATTTATAGACGAAAACATTTGCTTCCAATCAAATCTGCTTTACATTCCCTTTTAAATTCAGCACGTAATGGTCCACACTTTCAGCGTTTCTACTGAAAATAATGAAAGAAAGGAATCTACTGAGCGCAGGCTGATGTGGTTAGTCCTTCTAATGAACATTTATTACCATCCATTCCCCCTGTTTGTAGCACTTCGACTGCAGAGCTGATAAGCTACATTGCCTGATATGGCTGTGCTGTATAAAGAGAAGCGAAAGATGTTAGAATCAATATTAGTGTAATGCATGATAATCAAATTCATTCCTGCCATGGGTCATGTTGTAATTTATTATTTTATTCATGTGAGGGAACAGAGTAAATCAGAACCTCATGGCTGAATTTTTATTAACCTCTTGCAGGCCTGTAATTACTGGAGCAATGGGAACAAATTTGCACATAAACCTCTGCTGTAATTAAACTACAAAAGATATTAGAAAAACATTTGCACTCTGTGACTGTAGTGTAAGATGTCAAACAGCAAAGACCTCATTTAGCATATAAATTTATATTCATATATACAGTACATACATCAGCAATCAAAATCTTAAGTTACAGGAGTGCTTAATATATGTACTAATGAAGATTGTACTAAAGTGATATTTTCTTTTCCATAATTGTTACCTTAATCATTCAAAATATGAGATCTATTATGACCATATGAGTGTAAGTTGTAATGAGAATGAGCCTGGGCAGTTCCCTATCAGTTCTTTCATGAGACTTTATGCTGATGTGTTGAGTCTCATTTAATCGCATGAAGACATGCAGCAGAGTGGTCAGTGGATGAGAATCACACATTTTTCATGGTTCTTCTTTGGGTATCTTTTCAGCTGGGTATCTAAAACATTTCTTTCAAACAAGACCGGTTTGCAGTAGTCACTTACTAATGTACTTAAAATCTTCTTTTTTTGTTGGAAGAAGCTCTTATTTTGCAGGCTTATAAATCTTGTTTCAGTCTTTTTTTTAATCTGAGAGCAAGCGTGGATTTCTCCTAAGCAGCCACATGAAATAGCTGTTCCAGCTCCTGTCTGGTGCCATGCCCTTATAAAGACCTCCTCCGCTGGAATGTGTGGGGCGCATGGAGCTGCACTGATTGTAGGAAACGAAACTAATTAAAGTGAATTTCCTGGGGCCTGATGCAGACCCTCTGTAGCTCTAGCATTTGATAGGCTTAAATGATGCGGTTTGTTTATTAAACACAACTGCCCTCAAAGAGTTTTTTTTTTCCGGCAAACCCAGCTTTAGTACTGTTAGCAGTTACAGTGTTGCTCATTGTACGACATAAGCAAGGGCCTCTACCTTCAGTTTGCTCTGAGCAGTACCAGAGGCATCTGCGATCACACTGTAAATTGGCAGCAGATTGTTGTACTGTATGATGTATTCACTATTATGTGTTTAGGAGCAGGTGGAGATAAAGGTGACACTGAAAAATAAATGTGAAGGCAATAAGGAAGTGTACTTGAATTACTATACTGAGATACTGCATGTAGTACCGTGCTGTTTTGTTTTGGTTTGTTTCAAATATTTCTCTCAGTTTAATGTTAAAGGGAGACATTTTAAAAAAACACCAAGTAAGAGGAAAAGCACTCTCTATTGACATTGCTTAAAGTATTTCTGCCTAACTAGGTTAGGTAATAGCAGGCATCCATTATTGTGCTAGAATTGAACTGATAAGAATCAGAGACGTATCTGACTAGATCAGTCAGGGTATCAAGGGCACATTATACGCCAGCCATAAGGAAATTTACACTTTGGCATACCAGACCCTTAGTGATGAGTGGAGGTGACACAGTAAATCGGACACTTGCTGTCATGTGCATAGCCTGACATGAAACGCAAGGGGCAGACAGCTCAGTCACGACGTTTCGCTTGCTCTCCAGTGTTTCTTTGACGCAGCTACTGTATCCTTGACCATCACCTGCCTGTCTTTCCTCTTGTCAGAATGGGAAGGGGGCATGGATTCAGAACATGCATCATTGTGTATGTTGTCTACTGGCGGTGCACAAATGAAGTGGAAATTGCTGTGGTATGTGTAGCATAACCTCTCAAGAACTCTAGAGTAATGGTTGATATTTCCATCTATCATGCTTCATTTGATCCTGCCCCTACTTCAACCTGATAATGGCAGAAAGCTAAACGATCTTGCATTAAGTGAAAGTCATTTTTGATGTTATTTTTTATTGATTGGAGGAAGAGGCTGCTGCCTAAACAAATGGTGTTTTTTTTTTTTATTTGGTTAATGTTATCATAATATGAAAAAAAGTCCTATTTTAATTGTAACCCATTTATTTAGATGCTAGTTAGATGTAGTTCCTGGCTCTTGTTCTGCTCAGGACTAGGTAACCCAGAAGACTTGGGGGTGCGGACAGGCAGTGTGAGTATTGGTGTGATGTCCCAATATGACAGCATGTTCCCACAGTGGCAATAACGTCAAAAAAGGGGTTATGAGCACCTGAAAGTAAGTGATTTTTTTTACATCTTTGTTGCCATTGGGCCCCTAATGGCCCCTAATGCAGTTTAATTGTGGTGGATTACAGAGCCATAAATATAATTGAAAGCAGAATGAGAGCCAGTGGGAGATCCCCACAAATACAGCATTTTCACAAGTGTATTGGTTTTTCAGATACAATTATTTTGAATTAAGATAAACCAGGTAGGGGACCCACATATGAATTAATAATTAATACATGAATTAGACACACCTGAAGAAGGCTCCACAGCCGAAATGTTGTTTTCTTTCTTGTCTTTTCAGCATGGAATAAACCTTTGACTTATTAATTAATACTGCTGTGCAGACAGCAGACAACCTTATTCATCCTCCCTTGGCTACTGTTTTGAGTAGCAGGGCATCTTTATTGAATTGTCTGTAAATGTGATTACTTGCATTGTGTGTAAAATAATACTATAATGCTGTCCCAGTTCTTTCAGGGATGATAATAACAAAGCATTGCTAGAAACTCTGTTGGAACAAAGATAACAGGAGAGCAAAGTGCATCCATACATACAAAAACTCAGTTTGCTGTAATTCTTTCAATTAAATTATCTGCTTACAAACATTTCTATAACCTTCAACGTTACAAACTTTATGTGCAAAATATGTATCTTCATTCTTGCCTTTTATTTCTGTTGAACACAAGGTAGGAATGGTGGAAATCACTGTAATATTTTATAATAGCAAAGACAGGTGGCAAGATGTTTATTTTGCATTTTAAGCATTTGTTAGGCCAACATGCGCCACTCAATTCAGTTTGGTTCCGAAAGAGAAAGGCAGGAATTTGAAAAGGAACATGATGTAACATCAGGCCACATGAACAAGACAGGAGATCTTCAAAACTTAGTGGCATTTTCATTCGCCTGCATCAGTAATTTGCAAAAGGTCACAAGCAATAGGAGTTTAGAGTTTAGACTTGAAAACAGCCTTTCATCATGCACTTACCACATGTGCTTCTTATAAACCTTAAGATTTTTTTCTATTTTGTGCATCATTTGGTATAATATGCAAACTCAACTTAATGGTAAAAATGATCTTTTCTGACTCAGTACCTTCATTTAAAAAATCTTTCCCATTCTTCGTTTTAGAACATAGCAGCTTTTACTAATGCAGTTTTAAGTGCACATTAGACATTAGTGGAGCTGGGACTGTGACCATGACACAATGTATTGTATCAGTTGTACAGTACGTTTTACCACCAGCTGTGTGGTTTTAAATAGCTCCTCGATTTGTTTTTGTTCATTCGCTCACCTTCGAGTCTGACTTTATCAGATTGTGCTCACTTAATTTCTGTGACGAGTTTACTGTGATACCATTAGGTTTGGAGGCTGGTGTAAAAAAACAAACACGTGAAATGTGGTGCTTGAAAAAAAAAAGTCTCTTCGTTCTCTTTGTTAACTTTTGAAATCAAATCATATTGGCACAGTAGTGGGGACTTGTCACCATGACAACACCATTAGAGGCATGCAGGAACTACTTGACCTGTCTAAAGAAGGTAAATAAATATTTCAGAAATAGAACATAGAATTAGATGAATAGAAAACATTTAACAAATAGTAAAGTATTGTGTACATCTTAATAAATTCTGTAAGTAAACATATGCATAGTAGCATGATTGTCTGGGGCAATTGACTTAAAGTCAGATTTAATGAGTGAGTAGCAGATCAATTAGAAGTTTGTTTTCTTTGTTACCAGTATTTCAAAGCCCTTATAAATTATTCACATTGAGCTGTTCAGTGTCAGTAGAGGGGTTAAGCTGCCTGAGAGCACTTTGAATGTAATCATTGTCCTTTCATATTGAGCTTCCTCATCATCTAATAAATACTCTGCTTACGTACGGGACTATTAAGTGTCTCCAGGGTAATAAGGAGAGATAGCTGTGAATTAAATTCACTTAGTTTGAAGCTGTATGTGAGCAGATCCCATCTTTTGTTTTAAGAAAGAAAGAAAAAGACCATTTATGTTCACGTTTGAGATGTACCTGGTATTTCAACTGTAATTAGACTTTAAAAAGTTGTAATCAAATCCTTCTGGAAACAGTGCAGTAAATAACATATCATAAAGGAAAATGTGAACAGAAAAAGACTTCATCCGATACTTCATCATAAGATGTCGGACTTTTTTTATTTGCTGCTGAAACACTGTAATCAGTATGTACAATAAATAGTTTCAATTGGACCTAAATAACTATATAAAGTATATAAATATAAATACAATAAACCAGTTTGACAGATTGTTATGCTTTTGTTGATGCGTGCATGTAAATGTTGTAATGAAGCATGTGACCCAAGTTTTTAGAAAACTAGCCTTTTTATTATGTAAAATAATAATGTAAGTGAAAAGCAAAATGCACTAAACATAACCTTTAAACTATTAATACAATTAAATGCGCCAGAACTCTAGTGTAAATCCTGAAGTCTCCTCTCTAGGCCTCAGTTGCCTGCTTATCAAGAGACTTGAACGTCAAACTTGCTGCTTCTGACATATTGCATTCTTGTTCATCTCTGATCCAGTATGATCCATGTCACGCCAGGAATTTGTTGTTTTTTATTGCTTTCTTCTCTACTCAGAGCTCACAATGGCTGATTGATTCAGTGGTGAAGAGTCATGAGATTCCACAGAAGTGTTCAGGAATTCACTTCACTGTCAGATAAGCAGGATTGAAAAGGGAACTCTTGAGTTACCAAACTTGGAAGTCAAAAGCCAAAAAGTGTTTTTGTAAAACAGGCTTAATTTAAGGGTTTTTGCTAACTGTGAGTATTAAACTCAGCTAGACAGTCGGTCTGTGATCCAATTCTTCACAATTTCAAATTGCCTTGCAAAAGCAATACAATGACCAATTTACAGCATGAATCTGAGATCTAAATATTTAAAACATTAGATCAAGATAAACATTTGAAAAGAGGATAGATCTGATTTTTACATGGAGCATTTCAGGACCCCTGTATTTTAAGAAAAGGGTAAGTAAAAACAAAGAATATACATAAACAGGGGTGTACTGCAGCTAGTCACACATCTGTTAAAATAAATGGATCTCATCTAGTCCTTTCTCGGAAGAAACCAGGGTATCATCTTCAGTAGTGGCTGGGTAGCTTGTTGCTTGTAAAGAAGGGCCTCTTGTTCCAAGTCAGAAATGCACTTACACAAAGTTTCCATTTGTACTCTCACACCTCTGGTTTGTGTTTCTCTGTTCATCCTGAAGAAGTCCACTGGAGTGACTTGGTCAGTGCCTTGGAGGATTTCGGGGACTCATTTCTGTTCCCCCGGAATTTATCTGCTTCTGTCTGTGCCCCTGCCACAGTGCCTCCAAGTCAGGTGCCTAACTGAGGCAGTGGTGTGTGTTTTTCAGCTGAGCTTCCAGCACAAGGTGGGCATTCTGTACTGCAAGGCCGGCCAGAGCACAGAGGAGGAGATGTACAACAACGAGAGCGCGGGGCCGGCCCTGGACGAGTTCCTGGACCTGCTGGGACAGAGGGTGCGGCTCAAGGGGTTCAACAAGTACCGAGCGCAGCTGGACAACAAGAGTAAGGCCAGGGCCCGTCTCCCGCCCTCTCGCGTTCTCGGGTCCTTCTGTGTGTGTGCACGCCCAGCTCTCGTCCTTCCTGCTCGTTCCGTTACCTTCCACACGAACGCCACGGCGGGAACGGCAGAAACCTTTTCATGAAAAAATGTTGGTTTTCCGTTAAATAATCGTAATAATGTAGGCTGAAATTCTCTCCCAGGGGCAGGCTCGGCAGGATCGGATGAACTTGAAAAGGAACAATCTTATTGAAGGGATAGGAGGCACAAGATGGGGTTTATTTGCTTTTAATGTATGTGCATGCTATTATTGCTGTTGTGAAAGCTGTTCAGTCCTTTGAATTGGATTTTTGTTTTCTGTTAAAATTGTCGTTTTCTGTCTGTTTCAGCGGACTCCACAGGCACTCATTCTCTGTACACTACCTACAAAGATTATGAGTTAATGTTTCATGTATCGACATTACTTCCTTACACACCTAACAACAGACAACAGGTGAGTGTGCCATTTTCTGGTGAATGGCCCTGTTTAACCTCTGTTTAGTGATCAGTGAGACCAGAGTAACAGAGATGTGTGGTCTGCATCGCCTAGACAAAACCTTTGCAAAATCCCCTGTAATCAATGTGAGCCCATTTTGTGTCATAGGTCCTGATTTTACCTTTGTATTTTTAATATTTATATTTTTTATTAGCATTTATATAATTTTTAAAGCTGTTCTTTGGAAACACCTCATTTTTTGTTTATTATTCTTCTTCAGTCTACTGTATATTGTTCTGTAGTCCCCTGTTGCTGTTTAATGTTTTTCTGACAGTTTAAAGCATAAAACTAAAAGCATGAAGAAGGCTACACAGCCAAAATGTTGTTTCTTTTATTCTCTTTTCGGCATGGTATAAACTTTTGCTTGCTCCTTTGCAAACTAAAAGCATGATATGTTTCTGTTTCTGTAGTATATTCATTATGGTTCAAAAAGGGGCTTATCTGAGAAAGAAAAAAGTATAAATAAATTGTCCTTGTATCATTTTGTGACATCACAGTTAGATTGTTTGATAAATGTTTTGACCATTTAAACAGGTCTATGCTGACAGTACATTGTGTGATACTGTCATTTCTTGTATCTGGAGTATGTCAAAATATAGTACTGTATGTCTCTTTATTTTGTTTACTGATTATACATATAAAGATGGTTATTTTGCAGGTTTGATTAGAATTTCTCTCTGGAATGATATACAGTACAGTGGTTAATGTGTAGTACAATAACTGGTATTCACTGGATTGTGGCCGTTTATGAGCAAGTTTATGACAATATCTGATTAAAAGGACAACCTAATCTGGTCCCCCTACAGTCGAAAAGCCTGTCAAAGACTGAGCTGTAAAGTAAGTTTCCAGTTATAAGGGAAACCAGCCTCTGAACCTGCCTGCCAAGGTGTTGTGATAACAAAAATATTACAGTGCTCTAAAACTATAAAAAAATTAGATTAAGTGAAAGCTGAATGTTCATCACTGATGCTCCATCCTCCAAGTGTTTTTCTTTTTGAAAAACCACCGAGCTGCACATAAGGATGAGTGTCATTGGAGAACAGAGGGAAGAGCTGATACTGCCCTTGTTTTGCAGGCCTCTATTAGCATGAATATGAGAGAAGTTTACCCAGAATAACGTTTCATAGCCCCAAGATTAGTGCTAATCTGTCTAACCGGCCATGATCGGCCAGAAGGTAAACCGAAATAGGTCATTCAATCTTCTCTTCAGCTGCCCTGCTTCACCTTAAATCATTTTTATTTATGAGCCGCGTCACAAATCCAAATACTCTAGTTGTTTAATTATCTTAATTGGACCACAGGAATCATTGCCGTCTGAAATGAAATCTGGTATGTCTGATTTTATTTTCGTGAGGTGCTAGTCATGTCATGAATAAAAGGCGACTGATAAAAGACAATATTCAAATGTAGGTTTAATAATCACCAGTAGTTTCAGTGACTGTTTAACGTGAACCAGTAGAAGATTTTGTGACTCTGTAGGGTCTGAAGGTAACCTGTCTAAGGCATGAAGTCAGTTTAAGAGTAATTCAGGGGACCATGTATATACTGTACATGGATAACTATGCTGTCATGGGGCCATCTGTACAGTAATCTGATGCTGATCATTACAATGAGTGCACTTTTAAACTGGTTTTATAGCAAAACCAAACCCTCAGATTTACAGCTTTTTATTGAAACTAATTGTCTCAAGATGCAAGAGGATACTTGTGGCCCAGTTCACATGCTCATGGAAAACACTTGCTCAGATGTAACCCTCTTGCAGGAAATGTGATTTACTTCCTAACTCCTTTTTTTCTACCCCAGCTCTTGAGGAAAAGGCACATAGGAAATGATATCGTCACCATCGTATTTCAGGAGCCAGGGGCTCTTCCCTTCACGCCGAAAAATATTCGCTCCCACTTCCAGCACGTGTTTGTCATCGTCAAAGTACACAACCCTTGCACAGAAAACGTGTGCTACAGGTAACTAAGCTTTGCGACTTGATTAAATGGCAGGAAGGAACAAAGAGGTTTGGGGTTTTGGAAGACTGTCAAATAAGGAGGTAAAACCATCACACTGTCATTAAGTGATGTTTAATTTTTATCTTTGCTAGGAAAGATCCTTTTATCAGGAGTCTGATTTCTTTATTATTAAAGTAGTTGTTGCACCCAGAAAACTAAGTTTCACCTCAATCCAACTTGACTACAAAGTATTACAACCTAAAATGCATGCATACCACCCAAAACACGCTAAACAGTACAGGCTGTATTGCTCTGTTTAACACGGTGACTACAAATTTTAACTGAACTTTTAGACCATACATATGAATAATTAAGAATACCCTGAGAACTTAGATATAAGTGTAAGAATTGGAGACAGTAAAAGGGTGTGTGTTGAGCATTCTCTGTACTCTTTGAGCTTCTGGAATAGTCTAAAACATTCCAGCCATTTCCCCAGTGGGGAAATTCACTTTGTTTTCCCTTCCTCCATTCCAGCGTGGCTGTTTCAAGGTCTAAGGACGTGCCTGCTTTCGGTCCCCCGATTCCCAAAGGAGTGACTTTTCCCAAGTCGGCTGTTTTCAGGGACTTTCTCCTGGCCAAGGTCATTAATGCGGAGAACGCCGCCCACAAATCGGAGAAGTTCCGGGCCATGGCAACCAGGACGAGGCAGGAGTACTTGAAGGACCTGGCGGAGAACTTCGTTACAACAGCAACCATCGACTCCACGGTGAAGTTCAGCTTCATCACGCTGGGGGCAAAGAAGAAGGAGAAGAGCAAGCCCAGGAAGGCTGCCCACCTGCACAGCATCGGCGCCGTCACGTGGAATGTTATCGCCCGGGACTTCGGGCAGACCACCGACATTGAATGTTTGCTCGGCATCTCCAACGAGTTCATCGTGCTGATAGAGGAGGAGTCCAAGAACGTGGTGTTCAACTGCTCCTGCAGGGACGTTATAGGCTGGACCTCGGGTCTTATGAGTCTCAAAATCTTCTATGAGCGTGGGGAGTGCGTCGTACTGTCTGCCTTGGACAACTGCGGCGAAGACGTCAGAGAGATTGTGCAGAGGCTGGAGGTAAGCCCTGTGGACATGTATTTTCTCCACAGCCGCTCATCTCCTTCGTCGTACATCTGCGTGTGTGTGGTGTTGCATTTCGTTTTTTCCTCAAACACTTGTAATTTTAAACAGGCTCTACCAATACATGCCAGATATCCCCAGGGAAGAGTCAGGAACTAAGGCAAAGTCTGCAGCTGGTTATCACACAGGGCATCGGAGTCTTTTCTTGGCAAAGGTTTTTGGGATGTTTTTGGCTCGGCTCTGAGAGAGAGAGATTTCAAATAATTTAGAGCTGTAAGTGTATTATCTTATCTGTGCACCGAGGAATGAATGGTTACACACAGGGCTGGAATTTCTTATTCCTATTACATACATTTAGTATACATTTCTTCTTCCTTATATATCTGTAATAATAACAATAATAAATTATGAATAATTGCAGTATTTGATGAGGTAACTATTACAGTACAGACCGTTAACAACTCAAATTAAACTACATGAAGTTTGGCTAATGGTGATTTTGAACAAACACGGTGTCCATTTTGGGAAGAACACAAAGTGTATGCAGTAAAATAAGAAAAATGGGAAAACAACAGCACCAAATTGGTTGCATGTGCCACATAACACTCTGAATCTTCGTTAATAAAATCTCCACAGCTCTTGACTCTGCATTTGTCTTGAGCCAGTTCCCTCTGCTCAACACATTCTGCCAGCCTTATTTTTAAGACTGTTCAAGAAGATGAAAATAGTGGCTTCTTATAAGATAATTACTCTACACATCAATTTCCACTGTCCCTCTGCCATCCACTGCTAATGAGAACTGAAAAATACAGTATAAGGACCTATCAGCCGTGAGGTCTACAGCAGCACTAGTGATTCTTCTTTTTTCTGGCTTGTCAGTTACTCAAAGGGATGCTTAAGTTGGTGCATGAAATCCGTGGCATCTGGCTGAAGAAAGTAGTTTTCTGATCCAAGCCAATCATTAAAAAAGCTTTCCCCTTGATGTAGGAAATCTGGGATTTGTTTTACAAAGCTTCTTAGTGTGGTTATGTTTCACAGATACGGTTTGGTGATTCCCTTTGCGAGAGCTAACGTTTTGTTTTTGAGCGCTTTTATTTGCGAATATTTTCTTTTATAAGGAACTTCTGGGAGGGGCTAAAATCAGGTGATCTTTATCCAAAATCAGTTCAGTGCATGAAAGTTTCTTATTTTATCTGAATGAGAGTTTGGAAACTGACTTCTTTCTGATCATTCTGTTGAAACATTATCATTGTAAGAGCACAGTATGTTCTATCATATCGATGTCCTCAATACTTCAACAAGAAAATGTAATGGATTAAAAAGCAACAACTAAGGTCCAGGCATGCAAATTAATGTGGCTAAATTAGCAATTATAAAAAGTGCCCCTTCTTGTTCTGTTTCTAAAATGCAGGATCTTCTTATCGGTTTTTTATATATCTTTTTTTGACTAATACATTAAGTGGTCCAAACTGTTCTTGGTTCTTTTTCTGTATCGTGATATAGTGATGCATCTATGTAATTCTCAAAAATACAGCATGATTATCCATATGCAAAGCAATTACTCATGATTGGAAACACAGCTCCTTTACAGAGAACAAAGTTAAAAGTCTTTGTTTTTGATGGTTCTGGTCCTGCTTCTGTAATTGTCACACAACCAATCTCCAGTCTAGTCTGCATGAATGCCAGATGTAGTGCTTGCACACCAGATATGTTTATGCAGTCCTGTTCCTAACAAGGAAATGATTGACATTTGTCTGCCACCAGTCCCAGCAGGACTGAGTGCTTTGTTGTTCTTCTTGATGAGGGCCTGCCATTTCTGAGACCCCAGGAGTAATATATGACATAGCAATATATAACAAAGCCAATCATCCAGTATTACATACAAGTTGAAAGTCTTGTCCTACATCCTGTTCGCAGCTCTCCGCTCTTTAATGGGTTTTCCATGTGTTTCCCTCTTCGTTTCTGTTTCTTTGTCATTGTGGTTCTGAGCTACGGAAAGCATGACTTCTGCATGACTCCTAGTCTGCTTTTCAGAGCTGTGGCGAGGCTGCAGGCTCCCTCGAGTAGCGTCTCCTCACAAATCACACTCGTGCTGTGAAAATTAATTTTATTTGGCTTCCTATTCAGGCTATGAACTGCCTGACGAGCAATCTGTATGATTCTTCATTTAAATTTTGCAGTGTTACACGATGAGTCTTCTAAAATTATTTATGTGATTAAGCATATTAAGTGAATGTTTAAAAGAAGAGGTGGGTGATATGGTTACAGTACGTGGTACCACCATATTTCTTTTTCATTCCAAAAAAGTGAAAACTGGCCTGCACACTCTCACACACCCACGTATCGAAATAGCAATTGAAGAACACCACATTTATGAGTAAGGCATTCTGCACTGGGGAGCGTCATCCTCGTTGTCAAGGTTACAGAATGCTCTTTGTCTGGAACATGAAGTAATTCAGCAGACATCCAGGTGTTAGAATGTTATTCATTGCCTTGAGGCCATTGTAGAGGTTAAGAGTAGTCCATTACAATATTCGCTGACTAAGTGGATATGGTGGATGAAAACTAGTACTGTTGAGTGACCTGTTCTGCAGCAGAGATGTTGGGCACAGTTAAATGACGTCTAGCCTACTCAGACATGGGAATAAAAATGGATCAGAGTCATAATCCCCCAGCTTGTTTCAGCCACTTGCTTTAAAATGAAGAGATTCTTAGACATCTAATTCAGCTGGTTTAGTCGTAGCTATTTGCAAAAGCAGTGAAGCAGTTTCTCTCTTCACTGAAACCCTTGGCAGATGATATAGGTTATCTGAGGAGACTTTTTTTTTGAGTGAGGCTGTGCTTGAAACTTGATATGCTCACAAATATTTGCTATTTTTAGATCTGATTTCCCATAGCATTATTATTATTGTTGTTGTTGTTATAATAAAACCTTGCTAGGCTTTGCCTTTTCCCCAGCATTACACAGGTAAAGTTTTCAAGGGAAGGTAAAGCAACATGAACCTGATTTGTACAGGTTGGGCTGATTACAGGTGAGTAAGGCAGGTTTCAAGATGTCTTTCTGTACAACTATGAATTAAGCACAAACAGTCTTATATAGTCTTATATTACAGTAAGACTAGTAATATCAGTGGTGCTTGGCCTTCTACCTCTAATAAATGGACTGTTGCCAGTCTTAAAGGCAGTCATTGAAGTAAAACTGTTCAAGCTTTGGCCTGCTTTAATTTCAAAGCCAAGTGTATTACTTGATTCATACGTAGGTGGCTTGTGTGAAGGCCTTCTCCAGATTTTTTTAACCCAGTGGAACCCGTTTTTTGTGAAACACTGAAAATCTTTTTGGATTCTTTTAGCATCTTTATGTGTGTTTTTAAGATGTGATTTGCTGTATTACTTTCATGAGGCTAAAATACTGTAATTCATCTCTTCCCTGTCTCCTGTGAGTGTATGCATCCAGCTTTTTTTTGCCAGACATACAGTACGAATTCATGATTTTAGCTGTCCCTTTATCAGGAGTGTCTTCTCATTAGCAGCTCTTCAGGGGGTGTGAGAGGACAGCTGAGCTGTTTGTGAGTCCCAAGCACTCAAAACAAGATCCTTTCTTCCATGCTCTGACCTCTTGTGTGCTCTATTCTAGTATTCTCCAATGAGACCAGTTCTGCTGTTTGCCGTATACTGCATGAGCCATCTTCATAAAGCTTTCATTGACTCACTTTATTTTCCATGTCAAAGTAACCCAAGTGGAGGAGTGACACAGATATTTCAGCCACCTAATTTTAGCATTAATAAAATGCTTTTTAATGCTTTTAACTTATTTTAAGCATCTGGAGTTGTTTAAAGTGATGAAAACGTTTTGATGAAAAAAATGAAGAAAAAAAAACACAGCCCTGTATCCTTAAAGACCACACTAATAATATTAATTCAGTGATGTACCTATAGTTTTGCTAAATCAGTGGGAAGTTGCACTAAGAAAGTGGTTTTTGAGAAGTATAAATGTTTTTTTTTTATCTTTGTCTAGAAATTTGCTTTACTATGAACAACGTGGACTGAGTGTTTATCTTGTTTTCATCAGACTTCCTGTTTTCTTCTGGAATCGGGACAGTGTGGGTTTCAGAGTCTTTCTTGTCTGGTTATTAAGAGAACCATTGTTCATGGTGCTGTCTACGTGTGAGAGACCAGCATTTAGAATAAGTGTCCTCTCTTTAGCTTATACATTTTGTAAAGGCTGATTTTGACATAAAATTGCTGTTATTAATTTAGCTGATACCTCTATTCAAGGTGACTACATGAAGTACAGTTAATTAAAATGAATACTGTTCTCTGCATTGACAGCAGCATTGTTAATTAGATTTTGATGGAGCTGTAGAAAACCCTGGAAAAGCCTGATATGTAAGATCTGAGTGTTATTTCCTTCACTGAAGCAACAAAACATATAAATCTTTATTTTGACCTGTTTTATTACATAATTAATAATCCCATTCAGTTTATTCATTAAAAGATGACATCCTTGCTCAGCTTTGGAACCAGGTCTGACAGCTGCTAACACGTGAAATACATATTTCTCTTCTCACAGGCCTGCAAAATCACAGCTTACTATTTGAAATCAATCAATACATCTAATTTTTATTAGCAATACTGTCCTTCATAACAGTTTGCTTCAAAGTGCTTTAGAGAATGATATAGCAGTTAAGAATATTGTACAGAAACAGCTGACCACGTTGGCGTGGGGGACGGAAAAACAATAACTCCCAGTGGGAGAGAGGAAGCCTCTGGGGGTACCGGGCCCAATCATTGTCCTCTACCAGCCGATGCATTTGTGGTACATTTAATAACTTTAGGCCCTGAACAGTCTCTGCTAACTGAAGGTTCGGGATCATGCTGTCCGGGGTCCGGGGTCTGGGCTCAGCGTGACGTAGCTGAGGTTTCCTGAGGCTGTCCTGAGTCTAGTGTTTAGGTTTCTGATGTTATTGTCTATCAGGACATGGATATTCAATGTCTTATTCTAGCTCTGGGATCCAAGCATTGGGAATATAGAAAGATGAGAAAGTGGGTTGCAGTAACTGGGTGGAAGATCATGGTCTATGGTGAGGACTATGATGGAACAGACTTGGAACAGAACAGATGCAGAAGAACATCAGCATCCTTATTAGATAGCACAGGTATATTTATCTTTTCATTGGTGTGTTCCCATACCTTGACTTCAGTCACACCACAGAGGAGAGACTGACATGTCTTAGAATAGCGCAGCAATTAAATGAGCAAAAATGAATGAACATTGCTGTTTAAAAATGAACTGAGGACAGCAGGGCTTGTCAAACCGCACTGGCAGTTTACAATATCAATTAGACTCGTGTCATGCTCTTGGTATTACAATGTCCCAGGGCTGTTGCAGTGTGACACCAAACAGCTAGCAGTTACAATAAATCGATAACTCTGAATTGCATCTCTTCAACGCATTTTGTATTTCAGGATTTAAGGAATTTTCCCTTTTGGGGAAGATTAAACCTCAAATAGATTTTGAAAACCACCCATAAGAGATGTCTGTTGAACAGTCAGGAAATTCTGTAACCTGGAGGTCTTGGAAAATATGAGGGCAGAGCACCTGTGTAGAAGCACCTTTCCTGAAGCCAAGCTGAGAAAGGGTTTTCTGGTACATGACAGAAGACAAGTGAAATTCAGTGCCAGTACTTCTTTGGGATTAACACAGTCTGGACCCCTCTATGCATCTTCTCAGATGAAGCATTGTAGACTGGCCATTTGGGTGAGGGCCACTAAGATTAGAACTGCACACTGGAGCTGTGCAGTTTTGGCACCAGCTGCTAAAGGAAATAATAATACCCTCTCTAATTATAAACCTTTGCTATGGTAGCTGACCCATCACTGTCAAAGCTGGTTGTTCAGTTGCCACCACTTGCTTTGAAGTGCTCTTGTGAAACGAGTGTCACTAATGAAAGGGTAATTAATGTGGGTTTACTGTACATCTGCCATGAATAAGATAACTACGGAGGTAATTATTCACTGCTGCACAAGGCATCGTTGTAGCTCATGATACTTTTTTCAAAGTGCTCTTAACAAATACAGACAAAAGAGGACAATAATATTCATTGTACCATGACTCGAGACAATACAAGCATCCACTTCTCTCAAATGGATTCATCCTGTTTTCTTAACTGCTGCTTTGATGTTGTGTATGTCCTTGACTGTGTGTGCAGCAGAAGAACCAATATCAGTAGGAAAAGAGGTTTGTAGTCAAACATGTAGATATAGTCTAGGCAATATTTACCCTGATTTGGAATCAGTATCAGTAGGAAAAGAGAGGTTTGTAGTCACACATGTAGATATAGTCTAGGCAATATTTACCCTGATTTGGAATCAGTATCAGTAAGAAAAGAGAGGTTTGTCGTCACACATGTAGATATAGTCTAGGCAATATTTACCCTGATTTGGAATCAGTATCAGTAGGAAAAGAAAGGTTTGTCGTCGCACATGTAGATATAGTCTAGGCAATATTTACCCTGATTTGGAAGAACACAAAAACTTCACTAATAGGAACAGGACCTCACCACAAGTCTTCTTGTAGTGAAGGGAAACCGGGTTGCCTTGGAGAGGTAACATAATGTGCAAACACCCTTTTCTGGGAGGAAACTGGATGGGACTGCAAGGGCAGCATACTAGCTGCTGCTTACCAGATGGTACAGTGAGGATTTAAGCAAAGCTGGACAGTTTAAACAACAATCAGTCGTTCTGGCAGCTCATGTCCTTCAGTATCAGTTGGTGCTGGTGTGCCGCCTCCTCCTGAATCCCAGCACTGGCCAGACGGCGTGCTCCCTTTTGTTTCTGTGTGGAGGCTTTTACGGCATCGTGTTTCAGGCGCCGCTCACCACAAGATTTAAAGGCTGCTGAAGCTGTGATGTAATGTGAGCCAGCCCAGATGTGAAAAGGGCAGGTCGCTTTGTAAAGCCACTTGTGCTGGAAAAAGAACAAATGGATACAATCCGACTGCGTAGGAGGTTCTGGGTGCTGGATACAGTAATTCCCCAATCAGGCCCTTGTTGTATACTCATCTGTCTCTTTCCATTGGGGATTTCTACTTCCTAATGAGAAACATTTTTGTGTAGGAATTGTTTATTCCTTCAGCATAATTTTCAACATCATCTTTTGATTCATTACATGGGCTTATTTGTAATTTTGCCTGTTGACAACTAAACTCTGCTTAACTGGTATTATTTTAGGGGAAAAAAATAAACAGCATTTTTCGGCACTGCATGGCACTATGCAAACCTACAGAAATTGATTTAAATTTTTACTATGCAGGGTGGTACTGTATGTAGCTCAGTTTTTTAAAGGATGTCTGCAGCTTTATTGGGATGATTCATGGGCTGAAAGATGTTTCATATAGATATACTGTATGTTTCTAATTGGCATGCACTTTCTGCTAAAGACTGTTATTTCTGATAAAATTAAATGGGAAATCTGTGTACAAAATGATACCAAAACATTTTTTTTTCCAGTGGAAAATACATTTGGAAAGCACATTTGTAATGAATTGAATATGCTCATTAAATCCATAGCCGTAAGTAAAGGTTACCAGATGTGTAGTTAAATATAGAGCTGTTTGATTTCAGTTTCCAGCATGGTATAGCTCACTGTTGTACAAATGACCATGCAACATAAATGTGTTGTGAAGCAACTACGGTATGCTTTCAGTATGTGCAGTCAAGGAAAGTCTGTGAGCGGGAACAGTTCAGCTTAATGCATTCCTGTACTTGATAGTCATGCTTGTACAGTACAGGTACAGTGTGTCATTTTACACAGTTAGTGAACTATTTCTTGTCAGAGATCTTTGTGTATCAGTGTGTGATAATATTAAATGATCCCTTTTGGTTTGGAGACACACTCATAAAGTTATTTGTGAGAACTCATCTTGCAGTTCCATGTGGAGACGGGCTCTGCGTAGGATTTGGTACTCCCGTTAGTTGTTGAGTACTTTTATAATTAAGGGCACTAATCATTCATTGCATTTATGTTTGCACAAATAATTGACATTAATTGCACATGTGTTCATCCCAATGGACCTCACAGCCCTTCATGGTGCAACTGCACATCCTGGGTGTTCAGTATAAGTAGGTATAGAAGAGGAGTAGTAGTACAGTATAGTAAGTAAGAGGAGTGAGAAATTAAGGAAGAACTTTAGCTTGGTCAGAGGAAGGTGAAATATGATCGGTTGAACAGGTGATAATACTATTTCCAGATGAAATGTCAGTGGAATGAAGTTAATTATTACACCCCTTGTAGTTAAGAATAAGCAGTAACCAGTTTGACTAAATCCCATTCTTACAGATTCAGAAAGCATTCATATAAGGGCAGCATTTGCCATTTCCATTTCCATGCTAAAAGTGGTGTCTCTGAAATGTGTAAGGTTGTCTCGGTATTCTCTGATCAAAATGGGTTGATTACAAAGGTCAGAAAACAAATTTGACATATTTAAATTAATTTTAAAAAATGGTTTGGCACCACAAAGTAAAATAATTCTGTAGCGGTCTACTGTCCTTCTGTACGTGTTTGCAGACCTCATGGAATGCATCGTTTACCAGAAGTCCTGCAATAATTAGAAATGCAGAAAAAAGGATGAATTTTTGGTGATAACATATAGCCGTGAGATAGGAAGTTTTTTGTGAGTACATGTCGAAAGACGGAATGTCTTCACAAGAAATGCCCCTTACCTTTGAGTTTCTCTGGCCTCGATATAGCCTATAACTTCTCTCAATGGGAAAAGCTTTTCACAAAGCTTGGGAAGCTGATCTCTTTGTGTGTACAGCTTGCCCGAAAGCCTTTTTCTTGAGCGGTCCTCTGCTTGTTATCTGTAAACCTGCTGTTGAAAATCAACAGCCACGCAGGCCAGAATTGCCTTGAGCTACAGAGGAGCCTGCTAGACTCCCGACCTTTTGTTTCCTTTTAGGAAACCTTCTCTTAACTATAGCTTGCCCTCTTCATTGTTTGTGTGTGTGTGTGGGGGGGGGATAATGTTTGCCATTGCTTAGAACTTTAAGCAGAAAAGACACCCAGATTAATTGACCTGAAAATGAATCTCCATCTTTCTTTTTTTTGAAGGAAACCAAATCTCCAGAGATACTGACTTAACAATGGCATTTTCATTTCTCTCTCTCTTTCTCTCCCGTTTTTAATTTAGATTGTAACCAGGGGCTGTGAGACTTCAGAAATGACCCTGCGGAGGAATGGCCTTGGCCAGCTCGGATTCCATGTGAACTTTGAGGGGATCGTGGCCGACGTGGAGCCGTTCGGGTTTGCGTGGAAGGCCGGCCTGCGGCAAGGAAGCCGCCTGGTTGAGATTTGCAAAGTTGCCGTGGCAACCCTGACCCACGAGCAAATGATTGACCTCTTGCGGACGTCTGTGACCGTGAAGGTGGTGATCATCCAGCCGCATGAGGACGGCTCACCCAGGAGGTAACACACGTCTTTTTCCGGCTGGTCTCTGTGCAGAATCGTGAAAAGATGTGAAAGTGTGGATGCTACAGTGTATATATGATCCTTCTGAGTATAAACGACAAACAATCTGCTTCTGCAACAGCGATTCCACTGAGTTAAGGACATTTTTGTGTAAACCGCAGCGATAGGATATAGATATAAAAGAGTTTTTGTTATGCCTGCAGCAAAGGTTGTTTTGCAAACATACTTTAAATAATAACACTCCAGAACCGCTAGGAAATTGAGCTGCAAAAACCAGGACATGAGCTAACGTGATAAGAACAGAAAAACATTAAAAATGAAAGGATGCTGATTAGTTAGTAACTAATAAACAGCCGTGCAGGCCAGAATTGCACGGGTCTGAAGCGGTATCCACACTTTGCTTTGAAGTGTGTTTTGTAAAGGTTGCATCTCTTAAACAGCACCTCTCCACATACTTGCTGCCATTGCGGTTGATCAAACCGTGGTTTGATCTTAGCTGATCAAGCTCATCACATGTCTCAGCGTAAGATATTCCAGCTGTCCTGTTCTGCCAAATGATGTCATCCAAAAGCACACAGAATTTGTTTTTAAATGAAGACCTGGGACACTGCAGGTCTTGTTGTTTTAGAAAGGTTATTGGAACAGGATATTAAAATCACAATATTTTGAACTCAAGTTTCCTTTTTCTCCATTTCGCTTTCCCCTTAAATTGTGTCCAGGCACGGCTACTATCCATCATCTTTCATGTGGCAAGATATTACGTTGTGTGCATGTGGGACCTTGTCATCCACTCCCACTTTCAGTGTGTTAATTCACACACATGGTGATTCAGTGGCTGACCAAGCACTATGTTACAAAAGTGACTGTTGGATGTCTAGCTGAGAAACATTGGCGAATGAAAGAAGATAAAAGTTGTAGCTATTCTGTTACTTGTTTTACTTTTTGAATTTCAGATTCAATTTATCTATGTGGGAGTTAAATGTCAGCATTTTTTATACATCTGAGAATTTTATAGAGATCAATGCTCAAATGCTATTCTTAAATGAGATTAGCAACACTGATTTTAAATGCTTGATTGCTTCCACTTGATAAAATGACAACAGGTTTAATCTTGCAATGTAGTGGTTTATTACTTTGTATTAAATACCTGGAACTCTAAATTCAGCTTTATAAGCATTTTTTACAGAGTGCCATTTTACCCATGCAAGTAGAAAATTTAAACATTTATTAGAAGAAATAAAATGGTTTTCAAATAAATGTATCTGAATGCAAATCCATGTTTCTAGTTTGTAACATATTTTCTATAATATACTGATAATGACTAAGATAATGTCAAATTTATCACAGTCTTAAAAGATACATTTATAAGATAGCTGCAAACCATCTGGTTTGAAAACTAGCAGACTCCTAGTCAGCGTTTCTTGCTAATGATAACAAGACAATCCACTTGATTAATGACATAACAATTCCAGTAGCATCTGAGAGAGTTTATTATGGATTACAAACAGAAGATTTCAATTTGCATTCTGTTAGTTATTTGTGCAATTATGTTTTAAAGTATTTGGTTTTAGAGAGCCTCACATTGGACAAAGACGGTGCTTGCTCAGAAAGTAATACTGCTGTTTAATCGTAATAAAAAGCAAAAACGTACAGTATACAGTACATTAAGTGATATAGCCTAGATCTTTTAATCTCAGACATTCATTGCCTTTACTCCTAAATTTTGGTTTAATTATTTTGCTTAATTTGGTGTTTTTTAGGGTTGGTAATAGCTAGGTCAATTATTTTCATATAAATTAGTATTTTCATATAATTTTTACTCATAACATTTTCTAAGCCCTTAACCAGGTACTTCAATTTGAATAACACCAAGCAACATTAGACAGATGTACTGTACCTTAAATACAAACAAGGACAGCCATTACCTTAGTAAACAAAGTGGTAACTTGCTAACTCCTGACTGGAGTTTCCGCCACTACAGAACTATATAATTTGATGTAGAGAGACATTTTTCAGCAAAGCACCCAGCAGTTTTAAATATAGGGAGAATAACTGTTTTGTCGTTGCTCCTTCGGACTTGGGTACAACCGGCGGCAGGTGCGAGTGCAATTTTCTACACAAAACGTATCAGACAAGAGACTTAAAGAAATCTCCCAATGCAAAAATAACTAGGGAACCAGAGGGCAGGAGGACATAAATCTTTCCCCAACAATAGACACGACAGCTCCTGGATCTCGTCCAAGCCTTTTTTTTTTTTGCTGTCATAAGCAAATTGCAAGATTAGAGCAGCGTGTTTTGTGTGTGTGTAATCACGTTAAGAAGGTGATGCTTCCTGAGTCTGTTCTTGCCAGCGTGTTATTTATCTTGTGAATGCTCAGACAGTCGTGCCTTTGTCAGCGCTGGACAGTCCTGGGTCCTGCTTGGCCTTCCATTCCATGTGCCTGGTTCCTTCTTTGTTTCTGCCGCCTGGTCTAGCTCTGTAGAAGCGATTGATCTGTGCTGGCTTTACAATGCTGACACCTGACGATGTTCTTTTCGATTTCTGTTTTTGCTTCTTTTTTTTTGGGGAAAAAAAAAACTATTGTGTTTGCTTAATCTTCCCGTGTAAGTGCGGGCCGTCTGTAGGGCTGGCTGAGGAATCCGAGAGGACTCTTAACTGTTTAACACAAGTGGAAAACCGTTCAAGTCAACAATGAGTGCTAGTGTTTTCAGCGTTATCTCAAGCCAAAGGAATTTGTGGGAAAATTCAAACCCTATTCACCCACTGGAAGCAGATAGACACACACGCACACACAGAACAACTCCATGTGAGGAGACAACCAGCCCAGCTGCAAATATTCACAGATGTAGTTTGTCAAAGACTTATTTAAAAAAAGCTGACGAAACCCAATGCAGAGGACATGTTTTTTGGGTTGTTTTTAACTATAGCACATAGACTCTTGATGCTTCTGTAATGAAGTCAAGATTTAAAAATAATCTATGTAAACATCCCTTTAGTAACAGTACTTGTCTGTTGCTGTGGCTGAAGATGTACAGTATGTCGGCTAGATTTGTAACATCAGTATTTTTATTTATGTGTTCTTTATTTAGGGTCTTTAACGGCTCTGGCCTTTTAAGGTTTTCAATGTGCTGTCTTGAACAAAATGAGATATGTATCTAATATTAGATCACCCCAACCAGAAAATGTGTTTATTTATGCAGAGAGCAGAATTCCTAATTATAACACTTATGTGGTTCCAAAAGGATTAATGAATTTATTAAACATTGTATGAATTTATAGTGTACCATGTAGTAGAAATGTACTTATTGGGACGTTTAGTACACAAATTGAGAAAGGCAGAGAGTTTGTGGATGAGCAGCATCTATTTAGTGAAACAAAATTTCTAAATTCTAAATTTCTTCTTGCAATATAGTAGATAGCTTTTATGTGTGGTAGACTGAGAAACTGAGGGATGTCTATCTGTGATCTACAGTAGCATTGGCAAATTACACCAGTCCCTTCTATCAAAATGAGGAAATGGAAAAGAGGAATCTTGGCTGGAGAGTAAAATAACTTATTTGATCAAATTAAGTGTAAAGACTGAAAATGTGAAATAATCTTGCATTTTCACAGTGCTAAATAATATTGTGAGTGTAATAATCCAGTTGATTGATTCTAGGACAAAACAGGAGTGAGGAGAAGATTGCAAAACTCTGTTTCATTTTGATAGAACTTTAATAATTCTTCCTGAACTTTTGCATTATGGTGATGGGTTTTACAGTTAACTGTCCTTTTTCAGAGCTTGAATATCAGATTATCCTGTGCTGCCAGATCAATGTCAGCATTGAGTTTGAGGTGGATGTATTGGCCTGTCAGCACAGCTAGAGTTAAGCAAAGACAAGGGGCCATGCATTAAAGGACTGGGCTGTCAAAATCACTTAATTGATTGCTATTGACAAATGCTTTGTAGCCTGTTACAAGCAATTTAGTTGATCTTGATCTTGCCACGAGTAAGAAGAGCAATAGTTCAGCTGCATCCAACAGTAGCTACCATAGTGGCTCATGTATTGGCATGCCATGCTGATTTTGATGTGCACTGGAGCTGATGTATAATGTTCCTGGGCAGCAGCTAGTAAAAAAGGCTTGCTATAAAAGTAGTTTGTTCTGCAAGTTAAAGATACGTTGTGTGATCTTCATTTCCATAACACCTAAAGTTGAGATGACTCAGTTGGCTTTCATAACAGTCATTGCTGCTCACTAAGTTTTTTACCCTTGAGTATTTGCCATGGTTAAAAGCTGGTCTCTTACTTGGAGATCTGGGATCTGGGGGAATTGATTCATAATATTTGCTTGTATCTGTATAGCACTTTTTGTCCCAAAGAATCCTAAAGTGTTTGGCATACAAGAGGATCCGTTTCAATCCAGCGCTGAAGTGTGGTGCCCAACTGGTGGTTCATGGCACCCGTTATATGGCAGTAACCCCCGTGCATTTTACCTGATACCTGCCAAAAGAAAATGGGGTTTTATTGAAATAAAAAGCATCTTTCTGGCTATCACAATGCTTTTACATCATATAATAATTAAAGCAAATAATGCTCTATAAGACTCTAATCTGATTTAATCACACCAATTTAAACACATTATGTTTACCTAACTCCCTTTCCCCTCACACTCACCCCAGAAATAACAATCTAGGAAGGTCATAGGGTAATAGGGTAGACCAGGCAATTAATAGGGTATAATGATGTGCCATACAGAGGTCAGACGTGTGAACTGGTAAACTCAGCATTGTGGTATTGAGTATGCTGCATTTTGCAGTGCTAACTGGAAACTGCAATTTGCATGGTATTAGAGGATCTATGGCAAAGTGTTGCAAAGAGCACCATGCCGAATTGATTGATTGGGAGTGATTGATTGACTCCTACAGTGTGCTCAAAGGCCACTTTTTCTTAGGGCTCTGGAACAACAGAAGACTGTTGAAGCTCTAGATTGTGAGGAGGTATAGAAAAGTCTTGCTGGCATTATTTAACCCGTGTTGGAACTAATGAGGCATGGCAAAAGTGCTTTAGGGCTACGTGCTGGCTGTTTAATGGCTGGGTTAGCAACCTTTTTAAAAAGGGATTAACTACCCCAGCTGAAGTATTTGTCATCAGATTGGAACAACTCAGTTTATAATCAAAGCACTGCTGCATAGATGGCAGAAATTTTGAAATTGCTGACTTTTAATAGTTACATTGAATTGACACATGCGAGAACAGGGAATTAGTTAAATCATTCTTCGGTGGCAGCATTTATTAGCATGAAAGATAGACGGGAGAAGAAGAAGTTAAAGAAGGACATGTTGTGTTTTCAACAGAGACCTGTAAAACACTAAAGGTATTGCAAACATACAATATACAGTATATTTATTACAATACACTACAAAAATGTGTGCTTTATACAGTATATCTTTTAGATTTTAGATTCTTCAGCAAAACTCACTTATCTCCAGTGATAATTTTATCTTTAGCACCTTGTCTAAAGAAACCTCGTCTTAAGCAATTTTGTTGGGCCAGAAAATGCGTCACAAATTTGACATTTTCAAAACATAATGATAAACAATGACAGGCGACTGTTTCACTCATGTAACAGTGGCGTGTACATACAGTAATTGATGTAAATCTTGTCATTTTTATCTTTCGTTTTAAATGTCAAACTGTGATTGAATACTCTTACATTCTTAATTCAAGAGTAATATTACAGCTTTTCTTCTTAACCCTGATCTTCCGTATGAGTTTGTTTCCGCACACAGACAAGTTTGTTTGTTAACCTCTGCAGTTGGGAACTGCTGATGAGCCAGATGTTGATACTTAAGCATGAAAACATTTAGCTGGGAAATGGGCAGTGAGAGAACATGTACTTCATGATAGAATTACTTCCCTGCAACAAGCAAATTCCTTTAAATGCGAGTTTGTTTCAAGTAATAAACATGAACTCTGTATCCTGCTGAGCTTGATAATAAGCCGGACCTTTTCTGAAGATGAAAGCCCCCTACGCTCTCGATCCCAATCAAGGACGCCACTTTGACAAGAGCCGAATGTATATACATAGTGGCAAGCTCCCCTGGTCTAGTGGAAAATGGGGGGAAACGGACAATCAACTGTTTAGTTTCTGCTTACCCTGTCTTAAGGATGCAAACAGTCTTGAATGGTAAGTGGATAACTGCAGAGCCCGTGGGTCTGCAGAGTTGTGGTTAACGTGTGTCATGAGGTGTCATGAGTCTTACAGATTGATCTCCCTGTGGAGTGGGAATCTTCACAAACATGACTTACTGGATGAAGGAAATTCAGGCAGGCCATGGACTTTACGCCCTTTCACTGATGTTGTCCACCAGTTGTACTGGTTTCATTCTGACTGCATCTGTTCTTTTTGGCCGAGTCGTAATATTTCTCTAAACTTTGGGTATGTATTTTTCGACAGCCTTGGTTTCTAAGAAGTGGGAGACCAGTGCATAGTTCTGGTTCCTGCTTTAAAAGGGAAAGTAAGCCCTGGTGTGAATTGTTTCTGATAATTAAATGGTGCCCTGTATTTTTCCACTTGCTTTATTTTTTTCCTCCAATTCTGCCATTGTGTCTCTCTGGACCCCACTAGGTCAGCAGTAACCAAAGGGCAGAAGAAAATGTCTGATACACAGTGCTATGTGTTTTTAAAATGAGAGATGATCAGCACAGATATAATGTGTTTTTTTTTAAAGTAAATCCGAGTTGCCTCAGGCTTTTTAATGCTAATTAATCACACTGAGTTTGGAAATTAGATTTTTCACACATGCACAAACACACAAAGCGATGCTCTGTGGACCTGCTTTGCCAGCATACAGTTGACGCTCTGTTACTGCATCGTTGAAACGAGGGGGCAACCTTTAACCTTTCCTTTTTCTCCGTCTTTGTTGCTTTGGCAGAGGCTGCTCTGAGCTCTACCGGATTCCGATGGTGGAGTACAAGCTGGACAGCGAGGGTACCCCTTGTGAGTACAAAACCCCTTTCAGGAGGAACACCACCTGGCACCGCGTGCCCACGCCTGCTGGGCAGCCCCTGTCTCGGGCCTCCCCCACCCAGGGCTCTGCAGACAGGCTCCCGTGCCAGCAGCTCCTGCAGCAGGCCCAGGCTGCCATTCCCCGCAGCACCTCCTTCGACAGGAAGCTGCCAGATGGTGCCAGGTACAGTGCAACTCCTTCCTTCCTCCCTCCTCTCCCCTCTCCCTTGCCCTTCTGTATTTCATCTAAACACTGCGGGCTTGGGGCTACTGTGAAAGAAACACTTCCTGCCTCACCAAGCCAGGTCTTTAATTTTCTCTACTGATTTTCTTTTTTTTTTCAGGGGTGGGGGGGATCTTCACTGCTTTTACTTGCATTTAATACAAATTGTACATGACTAGCATTTTTAGAGCCTTTGCGAAATCCACTGGTTTTCTTCAGTTTAAATTGTATTCAGTTGATAAACCAAGGTGACTTGCAGTACAGACCTTCCTCGCAGCCGCAGCTTGGGGTTAGAAGAGCGTGACGTTCATGACTGGATAGATAAATAATAAGAGCATGAGAATCTGAGAGACATGGCTTGGTTTAATAAAAATCGGCACCTTCTTGTGTTTCTTATATATTTCTATACAGCAGAAATGTCCTTTCTTTAAAAAAAAACTATATTTAATATGTTCAAAACTTAATAGCAACATACAGTATATTTTAATATCAGCAAGGGGACTGCTACCACACAATGGCACTTCAATATCCTCTTGCAGTGTCCTGCTGGGGCATTTCCATTCTGACGTCTCCAAAAAGCAAGCAGTGTTGATGTATCTGTCAGTTTTCTGTGAGAAATGACAGTACAGGGACAAAACGTGACCTTTCTATAGTGTAAACCATCTAGACGATGTATTTCAGCTTGTCAGATTTCACATTTTGAGGTGGCAGAGATGTTTTTTTTCAATAGTAACTTTCATATTGATTTCCTCCAGGGTGTAGCTCTGAAACAGTATAAAACCATTTCCATATGCGATTCAGTTCTGAAATGGCAGTTTCTAAATTTCTGAATATACCAGTGTGAGTGTGTCCTAATCTGTGCTCCTTGTAACATTTATTTCCATTAGGGCACAGAGAACCCCTTTCAATGTACAGTAGAAACCTGAGGGATATTGTAACAGAAATATAAATGTATGGACACAAGTTCAGTTCACGATTGTGACAGCTGTTTCCTTCCATTAATGTGGTAAATAGATTTGGACAGATTTAAGAAATGTATTAGCAATATTGCAGTAAACCTTAAATAAATATCTAAGTGACCTACCTTTCCAATAAGGAATATTTACATGGTTGAAAGTTGTCCAAGGGCATATAGAATTTGCTTAGGGGCATAGCCACATGTTCCATACTTTGTTTTTGTTATTAAAATTAGTAATGATTAGCTCTTGAAGTTCCCAATTAGTGAAAACAGGTCTTAAAGTTGCAGTAACATTGCTCATTGGATCACGTTTAATGGTGTGTCATGACAGAAGTTATTTTTCAACATGGTCATCATCAGATGATGTAGAGTCCGTATCATTGTCAGTCTTAATTACCTTCTGAGCATTATTAAGCAGTTTACACGCGTTCATAATTGTGGCTAACAAATTGAATGGTAAGGACACAAAAGACTGTTAGTGGAAATACATGCATACAGCTGCTTGTTGGGTTTGATCTTGAGCAGCCCAGTCAAAAGCACATCTGTCCCTTTAAATAATATCTCCAAAGTAGTTTAACTAAACTCTCTTTGTGTGCTGTGGTAACATGATTCTTATTGCACTGGAACTGATTATTAAACCACAGAAAAATTAACTTTATTATTCGTTAATTACAAGTTAACGTTCTTATTTACCACACAACAAACCATTGGCGCCAGAGTGCCACCTACTGGTCTGCCAACACTATAGCAGCCTGTTTTGGCTGTCTCCCATCCCAGTACTAATTAGGCCCTTCCTTTCTACTTTCTGGGATTTAATGAGATCAAGGTAGAGGGCATGAACAATACCGAACTTGCCACTCTGATAAAGTACTGGGTAACTCTATATAGTAACTGTAGCTGGGATAGAAGATTAGTTCTAGGGAGAAAATGCTCAGTAGCTCTTTGCACAATTGTTTCCATTGGTGAACTGCTTCCTGCATTATCCAGAAATTGTTCATTCAGGTCCATCACTGCTTTTTACTGTTCTTTCTTTTTACAGCCTAGAATTCTATCCCACGCTAATTGAGAATTAAATTCCCATGTGGCTGTTCGCTTTCAACACCCAGTGGCTGTACATGAGAGTCTAGAACATACAATTGTAGGTCTCTGGCCCTCCTAAAAAAGATTGTGTCATTGTGCCCCATGTTGTCCCAGCTCTGTGACCTTGAAGACTGTCACTGTATTTTAGACGGCATCAGTGCTTTTAAGAGTCTCTGCATTCCCAAAGCTGGTGCCTGAAGTACGGAGTGTCATGTTTCACGTTGGGATTTGGAACATCTCTGTTTGGTGATACTGGGAGACACAGTTAGTAGCTGCTATAAATAGGATTGAGCCATCTGCTTTGAGCGAAAAATATTTCCTTCCTTCGTTTTAAATGCAGCAGGAACAGAAGAACTAATACTGATTTATTGCAGCCTTTTTTTGTCCTTTTTTCTTCTTCTGAATGCCACATATCCGAGGAGCAGTAAAATTCACACTGAAAATTTGCAAAGGGCAACAGTTGGGCCATCTTCTACTAAGAGTGAATGGAAATTACAATTTAAAATGGCTAATTTAGAGTGACAGCAAAAGATCTTTGGTGCCTTGTGCTATTTGTTTCCTTTCTGTGACATGATGAGATTAGATGATTAGAAGTCAGTATGATACAAGATACTCGTTTACTGTGTCTCAGGATTAGAATTGCAGAGAATGATCTCAGCTGTAAACTGTTTATTAGATCTGTATGAATCTCACTATTTTATAAACTGATTATGTACTTGTAATTAATGTTTGTTTATTTTATGAACCAAAATTGATCACTATGTTCAATTGCTGGAGCTGAACATCTTGATTCAAGTGAGAACCTAACGTTCTCCATTTAAGTGATATAACTGAAGCATTTTCTGTTATGAATGCATTGCACACCTTTCTTTTATTTGGAGTGTTTACGCATCTGTGAGTTAGAAGGTGAAAAACAAAAGTACCTGACTATGAAAGGGGTTAGAAAGAGTGCACATGTCACACAGTGGGTAATTTAAGCTTTTATGGCATCCTGCCAAAGGTGACGTCATAATACAGTAAATAATGTCATTTTGCTCTTGTTGCCAGGGCACTGCAAGATGTTGAAAACCCTCAGATACCTCAGTGCAATAAAAACGATGCCAACCAGCACTATAGGAGCTCTCCAAGCAACCAGTCCTCTTCGAGTGACCCTGGACCCTGTGCAAGTAGCAGCTGGACACAGCAGACAGGATATGAGGGGTAGGCAGACAGTGACACTGTATTTTAGTAACATTTCCTGAGTCAGGGGTTGTCGCTTTCTGTCGTCTGCGAATAGCAACTGGCTATTTATACGACAGCCCGCCGACATTTGGCACATGTGCTGCATTAATATTCTCGTCGGATCTCTGGATTCACACAGAAGCCATGGTAGCCGCCTAGACAGGTTTGGCCTATGACCATACCTTTTTTTCCCCTCTGAGGATATTTTTACATTCATACCTGGGCCCCTTTAAGAGTCTTGCCTTATCAGGATACCTTCCAAGGGGACTTGGGAGTTTACTCCGATCAATTAAAGAGTGAAGTTTCAAAAGTGCTTTTTCCTCCATTACACTTTTTTTAAGGATGGTTAGCAGGTTGTTTTCGTGGGTTTGCTGTGCCTAGGCGAGTGGCCTTTTCCGTAGTCTCTGTGTCTCTCCTTTATTGCAGTAACAGGAGGTGGAGGACACTGTGTTGCATGTGGTGTGTTCCTGTTCTAGACTCTTCAGATAAGCTTGACAGTGTCCCTGTGAGTTATCTTTGAGTGGATTAGGCTGGCAGCTTAGCATACTGCCCGTCTGCTGTATCTGTTACTTTATAACTTTATCTCTCAGCACACCCTATTAAAACTTGAAATAGGTTATAGGATTAATTTAAAGCTCTGTCTTCTTCAGGATGTAGAATCTGTTTTGTAGGTAATCTTTCAAAAGCAACAGGATTTAGTGAGGAAAACATTTTCCAGTTAAGTTAACTCTATGTGCCATTTCATGGAAGTCAGTGAGAGTTTTCACTCTGGAAATAAATCAGCAGTGTCCTATGCAGTACATTGTGGTGGCCATATGTGTCATTCGTTAATCCTGCTGTGTATTCTGAAAGCCCCTTTAGGATTATAAGAAGTGAAACATTATACCTATATACCTAATTATATCATGTTGCGTTGAATAAAACAATATATCATATATTTAACAAATGTTGTGCTAGTTCCATTGTAAACTAGAATTAAATTAGCTGCATATTGCAAAGCATATTTAGTTGAAGTGCACCCAGTTACGTCTGTCACATTTTGTAGGATACCTTTAAAAACAGTCAATTAAAAACAACTAGAATTACACAAATTAACATTTTAAAAAATGGAAAGTTTTAAAAAGCTTGAAATCTGAAATGTCACCTGCAAATAACCTTAAATATCATGATGTCATGATGTACATTTGTTTACTGCTCATGGATAGTTATTAATAAAGATAAAGTATTGTCCACTTTCCAGTGGGGGTACAGAAGTGGTGCTTGGAGCAAGAAGGGAGGCCGCCCTAACACGCCTTTCAATGTTGGTATCTAGCTGCCAGTCCCCTGTACTACATGAGCGGTCAGCTGATACCCCAGGCAGCCACACAGAGGGGGAGGGACTGAGAGAGCGCGAGCCCACGTTAGAGAGAACCCGGTCTGCCGGTAAGCCTGTCAATCACTGCAACACACCCAGAAAGCACTGGAGCCATCGATCACATTGCTTTTGGTCACCAGGTTCTGCTTTAAGGGTCAGTGCAATGGTTGGATGTAAAGTGCCGCTCGTCTAACACCTGACTGGAGAATCACACGTGCCTTAGACTGTAACTCACATGTACACAGATGTACACTCTTACACTTGTACATCTTATTCAATGTAAAAATTAAAATGTGACTATATTAAACCTCAAGGGCTGATGTTTCATGCATAGATTCACACAAATCCTGACCTATCTTATTTATGTTACCATACGTTAACAAAGATTTGTATTAATCAGTGTCTGTAAACCGCTGGAAAGAGTCAAGGAATACATTTACTTGCTTGTTATCTTTTATTTTTGGGGGAAGGGAGTATTACTGCAATATCAATTAGAAAAGCTATGCAGACATATTTTATATCCCCTGGCAAGAGTCAATCCTTTCATTGAACACTGACAAAACAAGAGAAAAAAGAATCTGAGCCCTGGAACCATCAATATTGGATGTGTTTTATTTGCAGAAGCCAAATGGCACATCCCCTCCACAAAGATCCTTAATTCGCTGAAGGACAGAGGCCCTCAGAAGGAAAGTGGAAAAGACTCCCCTAATAAACTATCCAGGGTGAGTCTCATTGTTTCCTTTTAAGCTGTGTGTTACTAATAATGATGTCCAGTGTCATATCGGGGCCTAGGATAATTCATTTTCAGGTTTCAAGTGTGTCAGAGGAAGTGTTTCTGCTCAGCGCAGACTGCCACTAAAGCTTGTGATTTCACTTGTCAGGTTGTGGTATCATTTGCTTTGATATATTAGTCGAGAAAAGGTCACTGTGCCCTTGCTCCTTGTTGGTGGTGCTTTTGCCGCCATGAGTAGTGAGCTTTCTGGCAGGATGGCATTTGTTTATCGGTGAAGCAACTCTTCTTTTTTTTGCATCTTTTTTGCCTCGTTTTACAATTGGATTTCGTTTTCCATGGAAAAAAAATAACATTGATTGCTGCGTGCCTGAGCGGGAAGGTCAGCCTTGTTTTTGCCAGTCCCAGCATAGGGGAGGTGCAGTCTTCTGAACTGGAGGGCACTCGCTTTTATTTTGTAAGGCACACTTAGTAGAATCTCCGAAGTATTCGTCTGTCTTGTCGATCGATCGAACTGTAATTCATCTCAAATGTGCTGAGATTTCCGCTGCCAAAGTCTTAAACTCATGATAATGTTTCCTGACATTGTTGACTCGTTTTCATGATTTTGGGTCTAAAATAAGCAACATTATACAGGGTTTGAAGGCTTTGGTAGCCTAGAATGCTACATTTTGGACGTGACATTATTTTTAAATAGCATGGCAGTGTGGGAAAGCACTCCAGTGCCAGCATGCTAAATTTAGCTGTCACTTAATTACAGCTTTCAGTATGGAATCAGGGCTTTGGGTTGTAATCATTTCTTTAATGTTTAGCCAAATAAACCTTTGGATAGCTTTGATTCTTTAACAGCTGTTAGGGCTTTTGTTTTAGAGTACAAACCTTTTTGATCAATACTTCTTAATACAGTATGTATGCTTAATTGGAGCTCATAATGAAAGTGCAGGAGAAGGATCAACACCAACTTCCACCAATCCAGCCTTCTAGCCTATAAATACTGTCCCAGAGTCCGTCACATTTGCACCCATAAACCGCCAAAAACCGTTTCAGTAAAATGATCATGTGAGAACATAACAGCATAGGCATGGTTACCAAAAAACAGCCAATTTTCTGCCCTTCTAACCTGTTTGGTAGTTAGTAGCTAGTTAATTCCAGCTGTTTCTTGAAGAAAGGCGGGTTATTAGTTTCAGCAACATGTCTGAGCAGCTTGTTCCATACTCCCACCACCCTCAGCCTTCTGTTCTCCTCCTAACAAATGCAGTTTCACTTAGTTTCCACCTGTGCCCAGTCACATTACAGGGGTTCGTCTGTATCTCCTGAAATTAACAGTAGTGAAGCATCTCAAAGTGAAGTAACACTGCCAGGCACTTTTGATGAAATACCCGTGCGTGTTTTTGTAAGATCTACTGCACATCGAAGCGGCACGGTATGCCCCTTGTCCACGCAGCTGGTTTCCCGCTGACATTGATGTAATATCCCCTCAGACTGGAGACCAGAACTGCTCCAGCCACTCCAGCAGCAACACCCTCTCCAGCAACGCCTCCAGCAACAGTGACGACAAGCACTTTGGCTCCGGGGATCTCACGGACCCGGACATGCTGGGCCTGACCTACATCAAGGGGGCGTCCACGGACAGCGGCATCGACACGGCCCCCTGCATGCCAGCCCCCGTGCAGCTGGCCGGGGGCCGCGTGATGCTGCAGGGCCGCGGGGAGCCGGTGATCCAGTGGGGCGGGCAGCACCCAGAGGAGCTGGAGCCCGAGGAAGAGCAGGCCAAGCTCTACCCGCTGCAGGGCTACGCCTCGGCGATGGCCTCTGGCCACGCCACAGAGGGAAGCGTCGGGGACCTCAGTGAGATATCCTCCCACTCCAGGTAGGCATGTGCTGGGACACCACCCCAGGCGAAACGGTGACACAGTGACGGCGGGAAATACTTGCATACACATGCGCCCAAACGCACACATGCGTATCGATCATAAATGTTTCTGTGTGCAGAGCGGGGTCTCCTTAGCGTCGTATGGCAGCCCACTGGAGCTCAGCAGTGTGAGCCTGGTCAGTCACAGGATGGGAGACCTCCTGGTAAAAACAAAGGTTGCTTGCATGTGTTAAGTAACAGCCTGTAAATACATTGAAACAGTCGTATGAATAAGCCTAGACCAAAACCAATAATGAATTGATGTTCATACATAACACAATTCTTGCTGTAGTCACCCTCCGTCTGTGAGGATATCGTGTTGCTTCTCAGGATAGATACTGAATATCTATCCTAAGTACGGTATTTCCTGCCTGTCTCTTGATAGTAACGATATATGGTCGAAGGTATGGTAAAAGTACCCTGTCATTTGGGTCACCTGTCCCTTTGGTCTTCATTTGCCTGAAAGGTGAAGATGCTTGAAGAAGGTGGATGCTGAAGGTGCATCCAATACAAGCTGTCTGTCTGACAGCTCTGCTGATAAACTACACCCAGTCCTGTTGGTTCATCAGGGATATGTTCCAGGACTGTCCGTGTATAATGAAAAACGTTTACCGGGAACATAATACAGAAAAATGTTTACAGAACATAAATATAGCACTGCAGTTTTATATTATTAAAAGGAATATTATAGAAGTGAATGGTAAGCTTTTACCTCCGCAGTTACTTTCTGCAATCACCTGGTAGATGTAAGAAGACTACAGATTGTACACTACATGACGATCAAGGTGTTAATGGTGGCAGTAGGTGAATCTGAAAGTGATTGTGGTGGTGAATTTGATGACGAAATTGCGCAGTATCGGATCACTGTTGTACGTTTTTTTATCTACATTTCGGCATGAGTAGACGAAGTATATCACCAAAATGCCAGCTAAAAAGCAGAGAAAGTCTGCGAGCGACCATGCCGATGCAGACCTCATAAAGGAGGAGAATCATGCTGGGAGAGATGAGATGTGTAATGAGGAAGAAAACGCATGAGAATTTTGAATTGAGCCTCTGTCTGAGAAGCTTTGGGCCTCTGAGAATGTTCTAGAAGCTTCGAGAATGCCTCTCTGGCCAGGCTGGTCTAGATATCACAAGTACATGAAACCGTGGGTTGGGAGGAAAGGGTATAATCAACCATAGCACCCCCTTCCCTGTTCATCTGCCCTGGTGTTGTTTAATTGTTGCCTGAGACTCTGGCATTGTTGAGTCAAACAAAACCTCTCCTTCCTCGAAGGCAGCTGCTCGCCACCTTCCTCAGTGCAAAACAGGCTGGGCGATAAAGATCTGGATCAATGTCCTGTTCTTCTGTTCATGTTCCTTTCCCACAAAACATGGTTACCCTCCCCCACACCACTGTGCCTGTCGATTGGAGACTGCAGGTTAAACTTGGATGACTGTGTCTTGGTCTGGCATCAGTTCAGGAAAACTGCTGAGTCTCAGATTTAACTACTTCATGATACAATACTGAAAGACAAATATTGAGAAATATAGTATTTCCAAACAGCAGCTTCATGGTGACAAATTTAAAAACCCTAAAAGTGTCAAACGTGGAGTGCTTCGAAGTGGCAAGGTAGCTTGCTGAGGGTCTTGGCATAGGTTATAATTTGCTAAAATGTAAGCACATTTAAGCCACACCAAGTTGTGAATATTGTGATAATATAGTTAGAGTGGTATTTCTGTGGGCATTTATTTACAGTTCTTCATTTACATTTTTGTGTGCTTTGGTGAAGTAGCGTGTTCAGCAAATTATAAGCTGACACATAATTTTCTCCCGAATGTATGTGAATATCTCTGGTCCTCTCATTTGCTGATAGCAAAGATCCTGAGGGATTTTCATTTGAAGAACAACAGAATGATCTGCTGTAAATAAACCCAGGCACAATTGTAGATGATTGTGACCTGTTATAATTTTTAAAAACATGTTTGAGTTACAAGTGTAACAAAGTCAATATATTCTCCCATTGTCCTTCATTTTTTCAAGGGTCATGCTAAAAGGTGTGCTGTAGTCCTTGCTATATATACAGTATGAGAGCACAACACAAAGTAAAAATATTACAGCCTGGATAATTCCTCCTGGATAAATATCCACATGCAGAAAGGTGCAGACAGGTTTAGCAAGATGCAGCTGTCTCCAACTCCAAAACTGGAGGTAATAATAATAATAATAATAATAATAATAATAATAATAATAATAATA